CCTGATATTGTGCTAGCTTCAGAATGAATTACAGAGGCTAAAGAGAGAAAGTTCAGGAAGAAAGAGAACGGCATGGATCTCCTCCAGAGCTAACATTAAACCATGGACACAGGCTTGCCCACGGAACATGGAAATGTTGAAAGAAAACTAGGATCGTAGGGCAAGTTCTTCAGCCTTTCCGGATACAAACCTGTTATTAACCACAGAAGAGGCTCAGGACCGGGAGTCCTCTGAGACTCTCTGATCTACAACCATGATGATTTACGATGAGATCTAATAAAAAATGGTGTGTGTGTGTGTGTGTGTGTGTGTGTGTGTGTGTGTATTTAATGAAAACTTCATTCTTTTAGAAAAATAAACTGCTGCTTATGATTTCTCATTAGTGACCATAGTTTTCTTCATATTGGGTGGAAAAGGGAATTATTTTGGTTTGGATGATCATTTCTGAATATTAATCATGTAATCAATATAGGAGAGATCCTGGTTTAAATTGAGAGCTAGGACAGTAAGTAGATACTTTTAACTAAAAACACATGTTAATGAATAACTTGGACCCCTAATCACTAAAGTAAAAACCTTATGAACAACAACGGGGAGGTGGAAGAATTAGAGTTTCCATATTATGAGAAAACAAACACTTAATAAATTTTGGATTGTGCTGTCCTCTATAGAGGCCCTAATGTTTCCTAACTACAAAAAGCCTGCCATTAGCAGAAGCAACAGTAAATAATTTATCCAAATTCCACTTAAAAATTAGAAATACCACTTGGAAATAATAAAAACAAACAAACAAAAACACTCACCTCCATTTATTTTAAACCAATCATGAGGGTTTTCTAAGCACTTATCTCACTTCTACTTTATCTGGGAGACGTGAAGATGACCAAACCACTGCCACTGATCCCTCTGTCCTTTCAGCTCAAGAGGGCTTCCCGCTTTCTAGCCATCTCCTTCTTAAAACCCAGGCCTCCAGGGCAGCCCATGCCTCTAGGGCCTTATAAACTATCAATATACATAGAAGATTCGTATATAAAGATGCAATAGTTTTAGTCATTGGTGTGTGTGTTGATGTGAACATATATGTTAAATCCGAACCCTCTCTGACTGGCTGCATCCAGTAGTGTGTTGGAGCTAGCTTGTTCAGGCTCACAAGAGCACATCTCTTCCTAATTCCTGGTTCAGTGATATCACAGCTGGTAGCTTGAAATCAGCCATAGTGGGGAGTATTTACACCATGGAAATTGGCAAATGCTACAAATCAGGTGCTTTTGTTTTCAGAGAGCTGGTTGTTAAACATTTACCAGCACACTACTGGTTGCATCCCAGGCTGAGCTCTGGACAGAGTTAAAAAAAACTAGCTCTCAGCCTGGGTGAGAAGGGGCAATATGGCATCAAATCAGCCCCTTTGGGGGTTTACTTTCTGCCCAGGGACTCTTCTTTCAGGCTTCACAAGAACTGCAGAACCACAGAAGGGCACGAGCTTCTGGGAAGCATCTGGCTACCAATGTCACCCCACTGGGCTCTAGTCTCAGAGACGTGACAGCCCCATGTGTGATGCAGGTCAAAAGCAAATAGGTAAAGCACCTGAAATTCTTTAAGCTCTGGATATGGCAGCTGGCTTCTCGCTGAAGAGGTTGGAGAAGAGTGAGTTCCCCAGGAGAAGCAAGCTCTCCCCAGTCGAAAGCATCCACTGGGGCATTCTTCAGGTGTCTCGCAGCTGGTCTGCAGGCTGCTGCTCACCAGCTCGGGCTGGCAGGTGGGTGGGCCTGGGTTTGCGTTGCAGTGTCCTGCCAGGAGCCTAGTAGCAGGCTTCCTTTGCTTCCCTCTTCCCTCCTAAAGTCTGGTAGAAATCAAAGAGCCAACAAAATTGAGGTCACTGGCAAAAGAGTTTGAAATTTTGAATGACTTTTATTAAACACCATTAGTCTACACTGCACAGTTAATGAAACAGCAAAGCTCCAATCTGGTAGAAGAATGAAGATTGATCATGGATCTGAAAAGCAGTTCCGTGTCCCCTAAACCCAACGTGAGCCCTCTGAATGATTCTTGTAACATCTCACGTCAGAAGTAGAAAGGGGCAAGAACTGCAGTCTGGCCTGGAGGGGCTTCCCCACCCCCTACCCCCCCAACCCTCACCCCACCCGCCACCCTCCCCACAATGCAATTTTCTTTTAGTTGATAGATTACAGAGAACAATGTGATGCTCTTGGTAAAGAGGGCTTCTAGATTTGTGAGGAGGAGAATGGAAAGGGAATTAATGCTTTTTCTTCCCCTGAAAATATCCGATGGGAGGATGAATGTCTGAGACCAGCCTCTGATTAGCCTCCTGCCAGGGTGAATGCTGATTATCAATACACAGATGCAATTTCTGTTGCTGGAGTTTGCTAACACCAAAGTGAAAATGAATCAGAGTTTAATTATGAGAATAAGGCTGTGCGAGTGGAAATGAGAAACAACAATAACAACAACGATGACAACGAATTTAGTCTGCCAGTCGCGTAACAGAGCACTGACAACTGGCTCAACATCTTCCCCCACAGAATTGAATTTGGGGGCACTGAATCGACCCATTCATTTGATATTGTGTAGCTATGTCATCTCACTACACGTTTTCTCAATGGGGATAATGATGCTTCTCTACACAAGCAGGTCATTGCCTTACTGAGTAGTTCTACCCAGTGATCCAGTTTGGTTCTCCCACCCGCCAACTCATGCAGGTGAACTTGATCATGTCTGTTGAGAAGTACGTGGGGTTTCACCCTCACAGCTAAATCAATTCTGCCTTCAAAAATGCTTTCCAACTTCAAACTCCAACTTCAAACTCTGGGATGCAAATTTGAGTAAAACAAAACCAGAATTAGATAGCTTCTGGAAAGATACTATGGAAAAAGTATCTTTCCAATGCAGACTGAATCCAAGGCGCTTAGTGATATCATGTCCAAATAACAATCCATCCATTTGCAAACTCAACAAAACACACTTTAGCCAATGGTTTCTAATTTAGCAACTCGCTTATGAAGATTTGGATCTTTTTACTTCATTACATGGAGAAAAGGCATCCCAACCTCAAGTCTTTTAAAAGTAGCAGCAGCTAATCTGCCTTTCCAATTATGTCATCCAAATATAAAGCTACTAGTATTTTCCCAATGAGATTATTAAGTAATTAACAGTCTACAGGCTGGCTAACAACATGCTTACAGCTACATTCTACCCTGAGGACCACACCAGTAAACTCTTTTCAAATTAATCCTACCTACCAAACTCAGACAGTAAAATGACAAAACCACTAAAAAATCCAAAGGGAATTAAAAATACAAAGCCAAGCCAACATCATAACACAAATTTTCAAACTCTCTGTGGTTGGAGCTTGGGTGATAAATGAAGGCATAGTGGTGGCCCTCCCTGGACCATGCTGCAGGGCTGAGATCTTTCCATGTTCTTGCTTGAGTGACGCTGACCATTACTCTGCCCATTACCCTACCTCCTATGCTTATTTCCATGTGTCTCACCAAGCCTCCGTCAAGGTCTAGGGAGGGGAGAAGCAACTTACTCCAGAGGCAGGCTCTTACCCTGCCATCCACATGTGTCTTATCACTCCCACAAACTGGTACACTGAAGAGATTTGCTTGACAAAAATATCTCCATCCCTCGAAGAGCTGCACATCAATGACACACGTCACCATTTACAATGTGACGACTAGAGTGCCTGGAAAACAGCCAACCATCCTTCTTCATGAATCCGAAAGACATCTCCTCCTCAGGGAGAGGACGTTAATTCATCCTCCATATTTAATTGGTTTCTAAGCTGCTTTTAATGGGGTCTACCAAATAATTAGGTGGTGATCCTGAGCTCGACTGTCAGATTTGATCATCCTGCTGCTGACTGGGCACACACTTTACACTCAGCCACCAGGGGTGACCCTGGGGCAGCAGCGTGACTTGCTGCCTCCCTGTTGTATGTAAAGTAGATGTAACAACTCGCTGAACCTAAGCTAGAGCTACAAGTCTTTTATCCACAAGGTAATATGCTTGTTTCCCAGGGAAACTGCCCCTAATACTCTAATGTCTAGTTTCTGGAGACTGAATTTCAAGAAGATTCTACCCCTAAATCCATGATGGTCTAGGATCCTGGTCTAGGTTGGACTTACAAGTCAGGCCAGTAGGCTTCAATGTATGGAAGCCAGGGACTCGACCTGATAAGCCAAGGAAAACAGAGAGAATTTGAGTCACTGCAAGGCCATCAGCATAATTTTGATATGTGACACCCACAGATGTGATATAAATGACTTGGGTGTTCATAGTCTTCCACATTATTGTTTTCCTCACTTAAGAGGCTCAGACAGGATTCTCTTGGATTTAAGTTTTGTGTTTGTGTGTGTGTGTGCATGTGAGTGTTGTTGTCGAGGTTGCAAAAGTAAAGCTCAACCAGAGTGGGAGCCTGAAAAGTGCTCGGTTCAGCTGCTGGGGTGTTCCCATCAGCCATCTCAACAACGTGGCTTCAGCCATTGGAGTATGACTTCCACAACAAAAGGGTCTTAAGCTCAAAGATGGTCAGAGTAGAGCTCAAGTCTGGCTCTTTTGCAATTGGGGAGATATATAACCTTGACAATGAGAGGGCAAGGTGACCACTTGCTGTTCCTATAGCAGACCTGCATGACTTGCTTTAAAAATCATACAAGTTTGCATCTTTCATGTGCATGTATCTATTATTTATCTGGTCATAACTCAGTGAACAGAATTCAAGAACTCAGCAGATTAAGGGCTATGTGGAATTATATACTAGCAGGTAATTACAATGGACTGACATCAGGATAGTGTTTACTGCACGTGGGGGATTCTTCTGGTGAGCTGGAACACCAAAGATGGTATTTACATTGTGATGTTTAGGGACATCAAATGAAGGTAGAGGGTCATAAGGGGTGGGAATAGTCACAACTGATGGGGAACTGTCTCCAAATTAGGTGAACTCTTCACAATCTTCAGGGCTCTCTGAAAGCACCCCAGAATGAAGTACTACCCCAAGACTCTTTTTTTTTTTTATAAAAAAAAAGGCTAGCTACTATTTAAAGAGTTTAGAGTTTTCTTTGGAATTTTCATGGAATTGTTTCATGCTAATAGAGACTTTAATAGAATCAGTGATTGTATTTCAGTCAAAAACTTATGATCCAAAAAAAGAAAAGAAATATGAAAGAAAGAAGAAGAAAAGAAACCCTGTAAAAATAGGAAATGTGAATAAAAATTGGGGAAGTCTAGATTTTAAAGCCACTAAGAAAGAAATTGTATATTATTACTTCTAGGTAGTGATAACTTGACTTTTGTTTCCATAGATTTCAGCAAAATAAAATGAATAAATCCTACCCATTGTGGACCCACCCACCAACTACAAAGGAGGCAGAGGTATGAATTCCTTGTCTGGCATTTTCCAGACCTCTCTTATCTTCCATCTCTAAGACTGGAGTGTAGCATTTTGGCTACTAGGGCGAGTATCCACCCAACTGCTCCTCAAAAGGAGAGCTTTGCACAAAGAAAATCCCAGGTGAGGATTTACACTTCAGATCATGGAGCTCAAAACTAAATATGCCAGCTCATGCCTTAGAGTTGTCAAAATCAATGGCAACACTCTTTCTCATCATTAAAATTTAAAAAATGGGCAATCAGGAAGGGATGCTAACAAAGGAGGCCTCGGTTGCATGGCGTAGCATCTTTTTAAGAGTGGCATTGTTATGCTCATTTATTTTCTTAACACCCTTGATTTTATGATGTTGCTACAACATCTAGCCACTGGGTTTTGACAATGGAAATTCTCACCTGAAGACTGAGTCCGTGGGAAGCATAAAAGTTTAACAATGGATTCTGAAATATGTTCTTTTCTGGACATAAAAGTATAGTTTGGGGATGAGCTATGGCTAAAAATTTGAATCTTTGCAGGTCCTTTGTGTCTAAGTTCTCAAAGATGTGTAAGACATCTTGTTTCATTTCTCAGGAATTTGTTATCATCGCAAGTGTCTTCCATTCTTTGTTTTGGGTAGTGTGGACTTAAAACAATACTACAGGGATGTGTCATTCCGTAAAGCACAAAAGGATAGTGGGATCTGAGGAATGCATATAAAATACTGAAAAATGACTAGGTAATAAAACGTACACTGCTCTCAAGTTGTAGTGTCCACTTACAATGACTTCTGTTTTTCACAGATATCAAAAGAAGCATAAAAATAAACATAATCAAAGAGAACTTTCCCAAATGAGTGGAGTTCCACCAGTGACCACAAGGGCGCTGGTAGAGGTAGAGTGGTGGGTGGTGATGCGAGATGGGGAGTACCCACTACAACAAGTGGGCATCGATGCGCAGCCAACACAGTCCCTGGCGAACGTAGCGAACAAGATTGGTCATGCTGCTGTGCTGGGTCAGAGGCCCCATCAATGTGTCCAGGTCGCCAAAGAATTCTGAAAATCAGAGCAGACTTTGGTCAGGCCTTTGAATGAGATCACAGAAATATGCTCCAGATTGCCAAATGGCCTTCACAAAATCCCACAACCACATGGGCACTGGGAAAGCTATTCATTTGCTCATTCATTAATTCATTCACTCATTCAACAAACATTTATAGCTTTGCTTACTAGGGGACCAAAATTCCATATGCATATCAAGCACTGTTATTTTAATCTGTATTTAGCTGCCAAAACTCAGCAGCATGAAAAATACTTGTAGGTGTTATTGTGATTAATAAAACACAAACGCATTTAAATCTGTTACTTAATTCACAGTAAGTGTTTTTTAATTATTTTTTTATCACTTTATATTTTCTCAGACAGTGGATTCTAAAAGTACATTATAATCCTGTGGAGGTTTATGACGTGTGTGTGCATGTGTGAATAAATATATATGTGTGTATAAACAGGTGTTGTTGTTGTTGTTGTTAGGTGCCATCAAGTCAGTTCCAACTCATAGTGACCCAATGTACAACAGAACGAAACATTGCCTGGTCTTGTGTCAACCTTGCCATCGTTGTTATGCTTGAGCCCACTGTTGCAGCCACTACGTGAATCCATCTTGTTGTGGGTCTTCTTTTTCTCTGACTCTCTACTTTATCAAGCGTGATATTCTTCTCCAGGGACTGGTCTCCCCTAATAATATGTCCAAAGTATGTGAGATGAAGTCTCGCTATCCTCGCTTCTAAGGAGTATTCTGGCTGCACTTCTTCCAAGACAGGTTTGTTCATTCTTCTGGCAGTCCATGTATATTCAATATTCTTCACCAACACCATAATTCAAAGGCATCAATTCTTCTTTGGTCCTCCTTATTCACTGTTCACCTTTCGAATGCATATGAGGAGATAGAAAACACCATGGCTTGGGTCAGGCGCACCTTAGTCCTCAAAGCGACATCTTTTCTTTTGAACACTTTAAAGAGGTCTTTTGCAGTAGATTTGCCCAATACGATGTGTTGTTTGATTTATTGACTGCTGCAGCCATTGGCGTTGATTGTGGATCCAAGTAACATGAAATGCTTGACAACTTCAGTCTTTTCTCCATTTATCATGATGTTACTTATTGGTCCAGTTGTGAGGATGTTTTCTTTGTGTTGAGGTGTAATCCATACTGAAGGCTGTAGTCTTTGATCTTCATTAGTAAATGCTTCAAGTCTTCTTCACGTTCAGTATAAATAGATATATATGTGTATATAAATATGTGTATATATAAAGCTGTTTGTCATTCTATGTGTTACTGGACTGAGAATATTCTATTTTCCTTGTGTGTAATGAACTCAGTTTATTGACTTTTCTTGGCATGATGTAGACAAAACCAGTGAACCTGGACAACAGCATCCGAGGCCAAATAAACTTCTAGGAGGAATGTGATGTGGTAAGCTTTATTACCAATTACATTAGGGACAGAGAATGACCTGCAAGTGTCTGTCCCATAACCACTTCCCCTGCTCCCCATGACATGGATGGCAAGAATGTCCAGATGGGGAAAGGGCAGCACTGAGGCTACCATACTAACCAATGTGCTTGGATTTTTAGAGTGTCTGCTTTGGGTTGGGGGTGGGTGGTGGTGTGGATATGTGGGAAAAACTAAGTGACGTCTAAAAACTAGCTTGAATGGATTTGCTTGCCATTATGTTGACCTTGGAGTCAACTTGACTCCACGTGAGGGCTCTCTGGCATCCTCTTTGTTTGCTCCCAACAGAGGAGGCCGCCTCAGCCATGAGGAAATCACGCCTGTGTTGGCTGGGGGTGAGGAAGCCGGGTAGGGGAAACTGGAGACTGTCCTGCAGTGATGGGGATGCTCTTCTGTCTTGGAAAGCAATTTCCATGCCTGGGTTACATGTGCTTAATTGCTCAGCAGATGGTATTTCACTAAACAATGCATTTATTCTTCATGTTATGTATAACATATGGGCCTGTTCTCTAGGTATCAACTTCATTTGATTATGTGATACTTTTTAACCTGTACTATGCAATAAAAATAACTTCTGCTGATAAAGGAGTAAATTATTTTTGGCATCTCATATATTTTCTTATGTAATGCAATATGAAGGAAAATGTTAAAGGACCTAGTCATTGTTGAATGAATGGGAGCCTCACCTGAGCCAGGAAGACACCTGAGTATTCTGTACAAAGCTCTCTGTGGCATTCTTAACTAGATACCCAGGTCACCGTCTTAACAACGGTTTCAAGTGAGCAGTGTAAGCAGCTGGGGAGGTGGAGCATGGGGCTTCTACATCAAAGACCAGAGGACATCATAGGCCTGACTGGCCCATTTTGAGCACCAGAACTTTCTGCAGTATGCCATCTGCAGCTGTGTGGGTGGGCAGGCAAGGGTGTGTGTGCAGGGACTACCACTGGGGGAGCCAATCTCACCCATCTCCATGGCATAATCGAGTGGGAAAAGGTTCCAGGACAAGGTTGTCTCCAGTGGAAGGCAGAGTGCCAATCAGAAAGGAAGCTTCTAGTTGCCCATTTCTATATGGACAAGACAGATATGGAGAAAATACTCAAATCTAAGCAGATCAGAAATGACAAGCATGTGAAACGCGAGGCTGCAACCAGAAGATTCCAAACCAGGTCCTCTGCACAGTCAGAGAAAAGCCCAATGATAGCATTAGCAGGACACATTTTCTCTCCTCTGGTGGAATGCCGGAATTGTTTTGATTCAATATGTAACATTGACACACTGTGCTAATGACAAGGTTAGCACCATCTCACCCTAACGTCGGCAAAGCCACCACATTGCTCTTGGAAAGTTCTGCAGCTAATTTAGAAGGAATGACTTGAACAGATTTTGAAAATGGATGCAATTATGAAGGAAACCCATAAATATTGAACTGCCCTCCAGTTACCAACAAAAAATAAAATAGAGAAGGGTGGAGGCAGACAAGCTCCGTAAGTCTTAAAATGCTTATGTCTTCACTTGAAATTCCAGAACCCTTGGATAGGCTTGGTTCTCCGGGCCAATTTTCTCTGGATTTCCAGAAACCTAGAAAAGTAGACAAGTTAAGACTTGCCCACTACTCAGGTAACTAACTGCACAATCTTGCTGAAGGTTCCTGAGGACCCATTATTAACCTTGCTCTCTATATGGGCAATGTAGCCTAATGGTTAAGAGTTCAGATTCTGGAATCAGATCTAGATTCAATTCCTGTTTCCAGCATTAAGAGCTATGATATCATAGGTGAGCTTCTTAACCTCACTGAGCCTCAGTTTCTTCATCTGTAAAATACAGATCAATGAGACAATAAACAATAAAGGAAGTAGTGCAGTGCCTGATATATAGCAGGTGTTTAAAAATGCTATCTATGATCATTGAAATTGCTGCACAAACAGATGTAACTAATACACACAAATAACCTCGGAAGTCAGTGTAACTTTATAGCTGGCTTGAGAGTCAAAGTCTCAAATTATGGAAAGTGCTTTGATAGCCACAAAGTCCTTGAGTTACATAACCAGTTAATCAGTTGTTGTTGAGTCAACCAGGACTCCTGGTGACCTCACGTGTGTCAGAGTAGAACTGTGCTCCATAGGGTTTTCAATGGCTGCTTTTTTGGAAGTAGATCACTAGGCCTTTCTTCTGAGGTGCCTCTGGGTGGACTCGAACCTCCAACCTTTCAGTTAGCAGCCGAGTGTGTTAACCATTTACACCACCCAGGAACTCCTGAGTTATACAGATACGTAATAATATGGGGTAAGGAAAAAGAACGAACATTTGTAAGGTTTCTACCTTGCACCCAATATTTTATGCTAGGCGCTTTACATGTATTATTTCATTCAATCCATCTCTATAATCATTCTGGGTAGGTTTCATCATCATTATTACATCCACTATACAACTGGGAACTAGGAAGTGGCTCAGAGAGTTTAAGTAACTTGCCTAAGATCGCCCAGCTAGTGCATGACCCAGGCGGAGTTCAAAGTTAAATGATCAGGCTACAAAATCTGTGCTCTTTCTTCTCCATTTGGACTGTTTTCCCACATGGTCAGTAGTGAAATTTTTCATGCGTGAAAGGTCTGTGATGGGTAGCAAGGAGGAGGGCTGGGAGGACTCTGCCCTATTCCATAATCAGGCCTGGCAGAGAACCCCTGATCACAGAGTAGCAGCTTTGAGGAGAGAAGGGAAAGAGGCTGAGGCCCTGGGGCCTGAGTCGGAAGGACATGATCGCTGCTTGTGTTTCGAGGACTCCAGGGCTTGGAGATGAACCGGGCGAGGCGGCCCAGGAAGTCCTCCTTGGGCAAACTCACCTTCATCTATGGGGCCTGCAGCCCCAACCTGATTCCTGGAAAGCCTATGACTACTTAGGATCTGGCACTCACCCTGCAGTCCCTGGACGGTGCAGCATGCTAATGCTTCCCTGTTCCTGGCCAGACATGTCCACTGCTCTTAACTGCTGGGGTCACATCTTTGTAGTTTGATTCTCAAAGGCCTACATCTGTCCCTATCTTGAATGAAGTAGGGTAGTCTGTGACCTTTGAGTCAGAATTAGCCATTCTAAATGAATGGCCAGGGCAAAAGTGCTGTTTATCTCTCTGTTCCACCTTCCTCAGGACAGTGAAGCTTCCTTGTGAGCCTGAGTGGCAGCTAGGGCCACATATGGCAACATTAGTCACTCAAGAGCCCAGACTCACTCTCTGGGGAAGCAGGGTCCTCTCTGCATTTCTTTTGTAGTAAACCTCACGTGTTGCCATGAACAGGGCCCTGATCCTTCATCTCAGCTGTCAGAGTGAGAAATACTAGCTGAGCTTTGGCCCTTGCTTCTTGATCCAAACCACATCATCATGTACTCATTGGAGCTGATTATTATAATGAAGACAGAGGCCTGGTTCAACCTCATCTCTCAAAAAAAAAAATATTAAAGTTGATAACAAAAGCCAACAGGATCTTAATTAATTTACAAATCATTCTTTGTTCCTTTGCCTCTGTTTCTGGGTGTTGATCTTTATCTTTGAGTGGAATTCTGAAATAGTTGTCTGCCAACATATCACCATTCAGATAAGTTTGAGCTCTACAGGAGAACAAAATTCCAGCTCTTTCACTCTCCCAGCAAAAATGGGTCACTGAGTCAGCCCAGAGCTAAGCCCCTCTTCTCTCATCTAAGCCCTGGCAATCAGAGACAGAAAGACAAGGCTACCATCAAAAGTCAAGTTCCTCAAAACACAACTGACTCCATCGTGCTCCGAAAGTGATGGGTAGAGTGGGTGAGCATACCTTTGTTCTCTCTTGTCAGTTTGTCGGCCATGTCCCAGTGTTCATAGCCTCTTAACACGTTGCTAGTGATGTTGACGTGGCTGGCGGCCATGTGGTGAATACGCTGGGGAATGGTGACTGGGCCATTGTTACAGTTCCCCATTGTGTTGATGGGAGAGACGTTGTTGAGAGACACCGGGGAAGGAGTGTTCCTGGGGAATGGAAAGAGATGGGCCTTGTTAGACAGGCAGGGAAGAGTGATGGCTGGGTTCTAGGCCTCCCTCTTCATACTGCTGGGATCTCAGTAGAATACCATTTGCCAGAATAAGGGTTAGCATGGTGTACATACATGAAGCCCCAGTGGAGTGAGGGTTGTTCCCATATCCCACCAGCTTGTCTTGCAGGGGGACATCCTAGAGCTTTTGTCAACACAACAGCTTTCTCCAGAGGCCCCAGAGAGAGCTGATTACCACCCCATACCTGCCTCATTTGACGAACCCACACAGAGCTCCAGGGCCAAGTTGTAGAGTGAGACCCCTTCTCTTTTCCTCGGAAGAAAGGCCTGGTGATCTACTTCTAAAAAACCAGCCATTGAAAACCCTATGGAGCACAGTTTTACTCTGACACACATGGGGTCACCACGAGTCGGAGTTGACTCGACAACGACTACCATCGATGAATCCAAGCATACTGCTGCTTTTGTTGGAAATACCAGCGCAGCTTTGGTGACTCTCTGGTATGAATGCTACCCAAAAATACAGCTCTTACTTTAAATATCTAGAATGAATGTTGCAATGTTTCAGAGAAAGAAACAGCTCAGAGCTAGCTCTGCATGCTACTGGCCAGAGTGGCTACTGGCAGTTAGAAAACACTAGATGTGCAATCTTGGTCTATTATCAACATGTTTTGTGGAAACCACAATGACAGTGTGCTCCAAAAGCAGTCACCACAATCAGCAAAGCCCCCAAGGAGCAGTATTAGGGAAGGTAGAACAAGTAGGATTCGGAAACTGTCTCTAGGATTCTGTCAGATGTGCTGCAGAGATGGGTGGTTAACTGCATGCTGGTTTATCAAGAGAAGTCTTCAGACTTTCAGCTTCAGGCAGTACTAATGTTTGGACATAGATTTCCGTTTCCTTCTTTAACGTCAGCAACAAGGAGTCACCTGCTGGCTGAACACAGTGTGGAGGTCATGTTTCCTCCAGGGCCTAGGCTTAGGTCGACCTACTGCAGACTGGCCCAGGGACAGTCTCAAAAGCATGGGTGGCTTCCTGTACACATGGGCAAGGTCTGTGTGTCCCTCGGCCTCCCTATCTTTCTTCAGCCACACTTTGAACAACTGTCCATGCAAATGTACTACTTTATGATGAGGAGTAAAATAGATGGGGGAAAGCTGTGTTTGGGACTCTGAGCCTGCATGTTTGAAGGAACCTTCTCATTCCTCCAAACACACTGTAGAACATCACCACGGTACCTAGCCCACTGCCCCCTCTCCCAGTTGTGTTGTTGGCAACTCTAGAGTTCCGGTGTGGCTGTGTTCCTCAGAGCCCACGCCTGCTCACAGAGTGGATGCGCGTCCCAATAGGCATCGCACATATGATTCGGGGGAACCGCAATCACAACATCCTGAAACGCCAAATGCTGCTGACTAGATCTGTGAGCAATTACAAATGATACGCTCTCCCTGAGACTCATATGGGCTAGGCCTACATCCACGGGAGAGATTTGGCCCATTTCTGCAAACAGAGTCAGTCTTTTGGTATCTTCTAGTATCTTCTGGTCTGAGGGGGAAACTAGATCCTTGCTCGGACTCAGCTGTGTGTCCCTCACACCTGCTCTGTACTTGTCCGGTGCATGAGGGTATGAAGGTGTGCCTGCTGTGGGCTGAGATATTTCATTATTTATTGCTGGAATGATTTATTCTCAAGGCAGTGGTGGGGTGGGGAGATGTCCAAGCTAAGGAGCCCAGGCACAGAAGGGTTAGTTAATGACAAAACAGCAGTGAATGCTGGATTTTTTTGTTGTGGCTTGTGGCAAATGCTATCTTCTAGTCTTTTCCCCTAGTGGTGGTCATTGACTCTGAAATGTCAATTTATGGCAGGAAAGGAATATGTTCTCCTTTGTAATCTCTAGAGAAAACTACCAGGATATCAAGTGCCACCCATGTTGAAAGTGGAACTGTGAGGTGCTGTGAAAGAAGTACTGGGACCCCAGAAGCCCTGGTTCCATCCCTTCCCCTCACTGGACTTGGCTTTCCTCTACTAAAAGAAAAGGTTGGATTCAATGATCTCCGATCATGTCCGGAAGTCACAAGGGAAAACAAATTACCTCTCTTTACCTCTTCTATCTTGAAAATAACTTTTTTAGTTTATAACACTGAAGTCTTACTGAAGGGCTATAGTTAAATCCATTTTCTTTCCCTTCCAGTATCACCCCTGCCATTCCCTTCTTTCTTCTTCCCTTCCTTTCTCTTTACCTTCCCTTCCTTTCCCATCCTATCCCATCTCCTCCCTTCCTCCCTCCCTCCCTCCCTCCCTTCCATCCATCCTTCCCTCTTTCTTTCCTTTCTACAGTCACTAGTGGAGGCAAGACCTTGGGAGAGCTTGGGCATGGGTTTGCTTTGGGTCACCACCGTTCTCACTATATGCAGTATATATAAGATCTGTGGGTGGTGCAAATGGTTTGCTCCTGACTACTAACCTAAAGGTTGGTGGTTTGAGCCCATCCAGTGGTTCCAGAGAAGACAGGCCTGATGATCTTCCATAAAGATTACAGCCAATATAACCCTATGGAGCTGTTCTACTTTGTAACACGTGGGGTTGCCATGAGTCAGAATTGACTCCATGACAGCAGGTTTGGTTTTGGTTATCTATCTGTCTGTCTCCATTATCTCCATTATTTATCTCCATCCTATTGGTTCTGTTTCTCTGGAGAACCTAATATATCTAAACCCAAACCAAACCCACTGCCGTCGAGTCCATGCCAATTTCTGACTCATAGCGGCCCTTTAGGACAGAGTAGAACTGCCTCATAGGGTTTCCAACGCTGTAATCCTTATGGAAGCAGACTACCACATCTTTCTCCCGCAGAGCAGCTGGCGGGTTCAAACCGCAGACCTTTCAGTTAGCAGCTGAGTGCTTAACCACTGTTCCACCAGGGCTCCTTCTAATACATCTAAGTACTTACATAATGCCTCAGTCTTGCCTCTTGGTTCACAAAGCCCAAAACACTTTCTATATAGCCCCTTACGGAAGAAGTTTGCTGCTTTCTACTCTAAAGCAAGCTGACTTCTTCCAACTGCTTCTTTGCCAGGCCCACTTCACCCTGCCGCTGCTGAGGCTGGTTCCTGAAGCTCTGCCCTAGCCCTCTGCTGCTCTTTCCATACACTCTCCTACAGAGCCCTCAGCCATGGAGAGGGCCACCATGGCTGCCTCCATGCCACTGACTTCCAATGGCCAGCCAGCTGAGGAGGGCTTGGGGTTAGGGGTGCAGCTCCTTGGAGGCACTGTGAGAGGCCCTGTGTGGGGCCAGCCACCCTCATCCCTGGGGGAACCGAGTCAGAAGACTTCCCTGACCACCCAGTGAGGCAGAGCTCTCTTTCTCTGGGGCCGCCAGGGCACTGAGTTCCTACCTGTCACCCCCACTGGGCTGCGTGCTTCTGGCATTCAGGGACTGCGTCTTATTCAGCTCAGAGTCCCCAGCACATCATTGGGGGCCTGGCGCAGAGGAGAGGCACCAGAAGTGTTTCCTGAATGAACGGGATGTAACCCCGGGGAGACTTGTTTTGGGCTGCCTCATTGAAAAGCTCTATGACCTACCAAAGGGAGTGTGCTTTCTTCACACAGAAGCTGCTTTAAAAGTCAGTACAGGAGGTTTTTAGTGTGACTTCACAAGCTTTAGGATGTGTTTGAGTTCTTTTGTTTCAGAATTAAAAAAAAAAAAAAAAACAAAAGAAAAGAAACAAACTTCCCACAATCCTTGAATGGCTGCTTACCTGGCCTTGCCTTTCCTTTCCTTTGTGCTCAGACAAAATAGCTTCCTCGGGGCCTTTCAGTGGTTATTTTTATTTTCTGAACTTTCTGAGAGAATCACTCTCCCTTTTGTTCATCAATATAAGAGTAAGACCCAATTCAACAATTTAAACGGTGCTTCCTTTCAATACAAGAGTTGAGTTAATGAGCCATTGTTAATGGTCCTGTTCCCTCACTCTGAATGTTTTTATGATCTCAAAGTAGGGCCCATTGTCCCACCGCTTCTGGAGTGTTATTTGTAGTTGTTTATAAAGTGGCAGTGGCAACTGTTTTACTCTTGAAGAAAGCGTTTGGATCAGCGATGCAAGGATTTTGAAATGATGACTAATTGAAAAGGCAGCTTGGAGTTCGAAAACAGGCTCTCTTTGAAAGGCTATTTCCACCATCATCCTGCTTCCCTTCCCGCTTCCTGTGGGAAGTGGGCCTGGGGTAGCGAGGTGGTATTGGAGTCATTGGGTTGGGGGGATGACTGGTACCCAACAAGGTGAGCAGAGGCACGTAGCCAGCTCTTGGCGGAGACAGAACTGGGGTTCACATGCTCCTCGTAAAAGAGCCAGGGAAACCAACCCCGAGAGAGGGAGGGGGCCTCCTTCGGTGCCCCTATGTGCTAGGGGCGGCCTCAGGAGTAGGTCACAGGGCTTTCTGACTCCCACACCATGACTGCTAGGCCCTTCCTAGCTCCGCAAGCACAGAGCATTCAAAATCAGGCTGTGGGAGGCTGTGGTTCCATGGTGCCTCAGAGCCACATCAGAGTAGATGCTTTTATATTTTAGGTCAGGCTATTTTAGTATTGCTATAAAAATCATCATGAAGGCTCAGATAATTGGCTGACTAAGCGCCTTCACATTTTCAGAACTATTATGCCTTAGGTTTTATTAAACAGCACTTACCATATATCAATGAATATTTCATTGGTCTTTCATTACTGAGTGAATCATTGAAAACTCAATGCAGTGGAGGTTAACTTGACTCGGCCTCCCTCAAATGGCATGGTGCTTTCCATTTCATTAACAGTTCTTTTTATGGCCATAATTTGGCTTAAAGATCAAATAGTTGAAGAATTTGGTATCATATCATTTTTTAACTTTTCTGTCTTGCCTTTAGCTGAGACCTGCCTGGAATTTTGCATGCACAAAAGATGACCTTCACTCTTGAGTTGTCGATGCAAAATATTTGGGGTCCATTCAATCACTCATTTTCATGAAAAAGCAATTTTCATAAGATACTTACTTTCCATTGCCTACCCATGGAGATGGTATCTGAGCGACTTTTGAAGCATTTTGCTAAAAGAGAGAGAGAGAGGGAAATAAGGACATCTATTTTGTGTTTTATTAATTCAGAAACAGATGGAAGTGTGATTTCGAGCACATTAATATTGATTGCAGCATTTCGGGAGGCCTCCTGTTCCATTTGCAGCACCGGGATGGATGTGTGCATCAGCACACCCCGACGCACACTTGAGGAAAATAGCTGGTTAGGATAATGAGTGGGCTCCAATCAGGACCATGAAAGTCACTTGATGAAAGATCTTATCTAGGAAAAGGCCCAGTGAAATCAGACTCGGTTCTCCAAGAAGTGGTTTAATTATCCTCATCTGAAATTTATTCTGCAAAACAAGCTCTTCAGAGCACAGGAAAGCTTTTCACCTTTAGCTCAAGTTGCAAAACTTTTTTCTTGGGATGGAAGGAGCGCTGGTGGTGCAGTGGTCAAAGCACTCAGCTGCCAACTGTAAAGGTCGGTGGTTTGAATCCACCAGTTTCTCTATGGCAGAATGATGTGGCAGTCTGCTTCCATGAAGATTTACAGCCTTAGAAACCCTGTGGGGTAGTCCTACTCTGTCCTGTAGGATCGCTGTGAGTTGTAATTGACTCCATGGCAATGGGTTTTTCATCCCTGGAATGGGGTTGGTGGCTGAAGTTTCTATATCTCAGGGATGTGCCAGGACCTGGGGTGGGGGTGGGGGCTGAAATGTCTATATCTCAGGGATGTGCCTGGAGCCAGCAGCAGTTTTTGTTTGCTTGTATGGGTGAATCCTCACTGATTACAGCTGGTTACTGTCCTGTCGTAGCGATGAAGCAATGGAATTCTAACCCTTCTTCTTTCCTCCGATGGACTTGGGCCTCTTGCATCTCTGTGGCCACACACTTTCGGAGCAGAGGGAAACCTGACGCTCAGCACCGCTACAGCAGGACAGTGATCAGCTAATTATAATGGCCTTGCCATGTTGGCTCACCACACCTGTGCCACTGAGCCTGACTCGGGCCTGCTTCTTGGCAGTCATGGCCCAGCTTAAGCTTCTTCCCAGGCTTCTTGGGTTCTGGCTCAGCCCACTTTGCAAACCCTGGTGTTCAGGACAAGTCAAGTGAGAATGTAACACTTCTCTGGAGGCACAGAGTTGTGTTGTGCAGACTCCAGGATGGAACCTCCAGGCAACTCCAGGCACTCCCAGATGAGTGAGTGATATAACACTTGTTTGGCCTTTTGCCATGCTCTGAAAGCTATGCAGGATAGGCTGAGGAGGACAGATGCTGGAGCAGTGGCTCTCCAGTGTGATCACAAGACCAGCAGCCTCACTGGCACCTGAGGACTTGTTAGAAATGCAACTTCTCAGGCCCCAGCCCAGACCTACAGACTGGGCTGTAAAAGTATTTTTTATAATTGTAGTAAAATGCCGTTGCCATTTCAACCATTTCTGTGTGTACAATTCAGAGACATTAATTTCATTCACCATGTTATGCAATCATCAGCATTATCCATTTCCAAATTTTCCCATCACTCTTAACAGAAACTAAGTGCCTCTTAAGCAATAGCTCGTTTCCCCCTCCCACCTACCGCTGGTCACCACTAAAAAGCTTTGGTCTCTATGCATTTCGTCAATTGACATTTTGTAACATGTCTACCACTTCTCATTAGTGATTTTATTCACCCTCTACCTCTCAATTCCACAAAATAAGGATTACCTTAAAATACTCCATCAGTGATCTGGAGTACTTCATAGCATGGTCCTTCTTCAGTTTGAACATTCTCAAGTAGAGCAGTGATAAACAGCGGTAGCTGTGGCGATGAGGAAGGGATTATGTTAATGCCAGTGCTTAATGAAACCTATAAACTATACCAAAAAATGCTAATACATATTTTGCAGTGACTCTCCTAAGATTAGATAGATTGGGGAACATACGTATCTAAAAAATATTTAAACAGGGAAAGGGAAGCATTAACAATCCCACCTTGAGAAGGGTCTAAATTAGAAGGGTACATGTTTAGTCAACGACTGAAGAAACCCATTAACTATCCTTTAATAGTTTAATGGAAAACAGAAATACTGATCTGGGGTAAGCAGCTTGAGTTGGAGTTTTCAAATCCTTCTGCCACATTTCAGCTATTTCCTCCATGGGACTCACCATAATACTGCTAGCTTTTTGTCCCCATCTGAAGCCAAGGGGCTGGCAAAGTTCTTCAGCCTCATCGCGTACCTTTGAAGAGAAAGCAAAAGCTAAAGTGAGAATTTGTATTATCCTTCAGAAATTCCCAAACTCATTTGCATTTTGATCACCTGAATGAGTTAGGCCCAAATTTGCTCTGGGTGGGAAGACTAAGAGCACGTGGACAAAAATATGCTTTCCTGAAAACACAAAATAATGATTAAGACTGTGCCACAATAAGACTTAGGTGACATGTGGAATTCAGTCCTGTGACAATGCTGTGGGATTATTATTTTGTGTGTGTATAAATGCTTGCAAAATCCTGTTTCTAGAACGCTCTAGCTAAACAACATTATTGGTTTTCAATGAGAGGTGGACAAAAATGTCAGTCTCAGTTCAGTTTATGACAGATGAGGTAAATAATATACAACTATGCCTGACATGAGCATGGGGAGACCTCAATCACCCAGTGAAAAGGTCTGTTCTAATGGCTCAGGTTTCAAATATATTCCTATAGAAAGCAGCTTTGTTTTCATAGAAGAAAGGTGGATTTCACAGCACTTTAAGGTCTAAGCACCCTTAATTTATGCGCTTGTATAGTTTATCTTTCCGTTCTCTTTAATTGTTACTGTTTCACACTGGGGTGATAAAGGTTGAGTATTTTCCATTTTTTTTTCCCCTTCTAACTGAGCACATTCCATTCTGGGCGTTTAGGCTCTTGAAAATCAATTCATTGTATAAAATCATTGTCTGAGCTTTAATGCAATTTCACAGGTACTTGCGGTAGAATAAGTAATGGGATTCAGTGTTGCATAAGGAAGTTGAAAGTGTACAAGCAGCCTGGACTCCTCATTTATGAGACGGTGACGGAGAGCCCGCAAGGACGTTGGGCTGGCACTGTGGCCTCCTGACTTCCAGCAGCCCCTCCCCTAGAGCCCGCCAGGGCTCACCACCCAAGACTAGGTCTCCTCAGCATCCTACAGCTCTGCTGTCCTCCTTAGGGCTCCAGTGCTGTTGAGCGAACATTTTCAAACAAAAGGACCTGTGCCCTTGATGTGAGTCCCTTCTGTTGTTGCAATATTAAGCAAAGGGATTTTTATTATGTAATAAATCTAACTTTCTTTGACAGCTGGATCACTGAAATGTCAAGTCATTGTGATGGCCCGCTTGTTTTCACAAATACATTTCTATCGCGTATTCCCAAGGCTCCAAGGAACTATAATTACTTGAACGAAGAATATGGGGCACTTTCTCTGTTGCCAGCATGCTGTCTGGGTGAGAGTAATAAAACTCTCTTCAACATGATATTGCACTACTGAAAACTATGTTCCTATTACAGTCATCCTCTAATTGCAGCCGCATTCACAGGGACTGGATAGTGCAGCTTCCATTGCTTAAATGGACCAGAAGACCTAGTGGCTTTCACTCATTTTATTCCCAAGTGAAATTTCTCTCATTAAAAAGAATTATATACACTTTACAGAAAATTTAAAACATAAAATAAAATAAAAATTAGAGAGAGGGGACACACACACAAGTGCATGTAAAGCTGGGGAAATCTGAATGAGTCAGTGGATTGTCTCCAGGTCAGTGTCCTGGTTATGATGTTGCACTACAGTTAGGTAAGACGGTACCATTGGGGGAGACTGGGTGAAGGGTATACGGGGATCCCTCTGTATTATTCCCTACAACTGCATGTGAACCTACCATTACCTCAAAACTGAAAGTTTCAAAATATTGACTTTAAAGTGAATGTCCACAAATTCTCTTTCGACTTCTACCAAATTCCATTGATGTACCCCCTATGGGGAGGAAAATGTCATATAATGAAAAGAAAATCATGCTTAGAAAAAAAGAAGTTTTTCTGCAAACAATTAAGGGAAAACAAGTGCTTTCTAATAGAAATAAATGATGTCATAATTGCATTTTTCCTAGAAAATGAAATTTGGTTTCTTGCTTTTATATTTTTAAGAGTATATACTTTCATCAAATAAAATTCATGAGATAGAAAAAAATAAGGGGAGGGAAAACACCCATAATCTTGCAGTGGCTCCACAAAAGTAAGGCCTGGCAATCTGCTTCCATAAAGATTACAGCTAAGAAAACCCAAGCGAGCAGTTCTGCTCTGTAAAACGTTGAGTCGCCATGAGTCGGGATTGACTCGTCGGCAACGGGCTTGGTTTTTTGGTTATGACAGCTAGGATCTCATTTGCCCTCCAGTTTGGTCCAGATGCCTACACACGTTTCTCAAGGACATAATTGCATATAATTGTCACATTTCAATGGCTGCAAAGGATTCGGTTGAGTGTACTACGATGTAATGAATTACTCTTCTATTATTGATTATTTGACTTGCTTATAATTGTTTTCTATTATATATAATGCCATAGTGAACACCGAACAGATAGCTTGCTCTACTTTTTCAATTATTTTTTTCAAGTAGAGGAAATTCAAATTTCTAGAAGCTGAATTACCGGATCAAAAGATACGAATGCATATTTGTATACTTTTCCTACACAATGCCAAACTGCCCCCGTTTTACAATGAACAGTTTGTATGCCTATCACAAGCGTAGGACAGGCCTCGTTTACTCCATTCTTTTTTTTTTTTTTTGTCCTAACACTGGGTATTAACATCTTAAAATTTTCTTCTTAATTTAAAAAAGTGCCTTCTTTTAATTTGTATTTTTGGATGATTAGAGAGGATGAATTTTCTTCCGCTTGTTCCCTAATGTCTCCCCTCAGTTTTGAATCCTTATGATTTTTGCCAGAATTTTCATCTTTCACCTTCTTCTCTGAAAATTGCACGTCAGCTTGAATAGACACTGAAAAATCTATCTTGCCTTAAGAAATACAGAATGGTGGTGGTAGCTTCCACAGCAAATGAAGGAAGTCAGGGAGAAAGGCTTTGCACTCTTCTCTGGGGCTCACTTCTCAGAGCAGCACTAAGTGACACATAGGTGACTGGCCTAGAAGCCAGGGCTGGGCTTTCCCTTATCACTTCCCTCTTTTTGTGGATTTACCTGAATCTTCTGAACCTATGTGAAAATAGTTTTTTATTTTGTTTTTGTTTTAATAATTCCCATTCTTTTGATGTTTTCGGAAAATATATACTGCATTTTTATGCAAACAACGTGCGCCTTTGCTTGCCAATCACATCCTCCCTCCTCCCCGTGAGATATTTCCATAAGCGCTACTATGCCAGTTTTTTTTTTTTTTTTTAAAAGTAACATGTAAAAAAAATTGGCGTAGTGGCCCTTATGAAAATACCTTACGGAGGGAGGGCACGGTTGGCAAATAAACGTGGAAGGTGTGCATTATTTGCCTAAAAATATGGTATGCTAAATTTGCCCAATGTCTGTCTGAAGGTTCCAGTATTATTATCTCCAGATTCATAGATTTATGCCGGTACAAGCAGTAGAGTATAAAGCAGACCTGGCATTATCGATTAATAGACCCAGAGGGTGAGGAGGCCATAAGGGGCTTTTAGGTAAAGAAGTGCTCACTCAGTCAAAAGCAGTGATTTTGTCCGCCCAGTGAAAGACGGCACTTACCCACTATTTAAAGGTGGGTTAAATGATTTTACAAATCTCTGCAGATTACTGGGAAACACCAGAATGGCTATTATTTCTTCTTCTCCTTCACCTTCTTCCTCTTCTAGGAATTTTTCATTACCCACAGATTCTCCACCAAGACCAACAGGCCAGAAAATTTCATTTAAAATGTAAATGAAATCAATAAGCCATGCAGCTAATATACCCTGTCCTGCTCTCATCCTCCCATCTCTATCCCTGCACCCCTCCCCCTGCCCGTTTCTGTTTCCCTCAAATTCCAGATACACAGGAAGTCGACTCCACACCTGTGGCCTTAAACATCGACTCTGAGTTGGAACAGTGCCCCCTCCTTTTTTAATAACTGAGAAAGAAATTCCTAGAAAACGTGGTTTATAATAGGAACCCGGATAGCACCACTTTTTTTTTTTAAATTATAAAACTGCACCTTTGAAAAGACAAGTGTCAATGCCAAACGGTGAAATTTCTATACTTCACTTCCACCCACTCTGTTTTCAATTTTAATTCTATGAATACTGCAAATTATAACACTCACATTATAACCTCTGAAGGGGATAATTTATAAAAGCAGTGTCCATTAATGATAAATTTTCCACTGACTTTAAGAAAATGGCAAGAACTAATTATGACTCCTAAGAAGAAGATGCGTTGGACAAATCATTAATATGTTGAAATGATATTTTTGAAAACATAGCAGGTTTTAATTATGACTGAAATGAGCTTAGGAAGATGATTGCAGAAAGGCCATTAACCTGAGCAGCTCCACAGTCTCGGAGTACATGGTGTAGGGAGACTTCGCTTCCAGGGGATCGCGCTCCATTGCGTTGCCACATTCGGTGAAGGAGAGGGCTGCGTCAGCGTAATTGACGGCTTTGCCGAATTTCTCAAACTGAAAGAGGAAGATGACTTATCAGCATGATGCTCCCTCTTCTCCTCCTTATAGAGGGAGGAGTGGTTCTCAACAGAGAAACAGTTTGTTCCCCAGGGAACATTTGGCAATGTCTGGAGGTTTTTGGGTTGCCACCACTAGGGGGGGACGCGTTACTGGCATCTAGTGGGTGGAGGCCAAGGATGCTACTAAACATCCTACAATGCACAGGATAGCCCCACCAGAAAGAATGATCTGGCCCGAACGTCAGTAGTGCCAAGGCTGAGAAGAGAAAACCCGCAGTCAAGGTATCAGGGGTGCTTTGTGGTATTACTGTCGTTCTTGTTATCAGTACCATTTTGGTGGACTAGAATCCAAAGTTGACAAGTTTCTATTCATGAAGTTTACTAACCTGACCAGTCATTGTGGTTTCCTACAGACAGAGCTTGCAATTAAGCTCCGCGTTTTCTAAGCCTCATGGACAATGAACACATACAGTCTCGACTCTCGAACTCTTTGTAAGCACATCAACCCTGCTTCCGGGAGAAGAGTTTAACAAATTGATGCTATTGTCATGAAAAATGAGAAGCTGTCCTATGACTGTTGACAATAATCGCATCACTTTCATTGTAAATGATGGTCTGAAATAGTGTGTCAAAAAGCCAAAAAATAGAGCACCACTAAATATTTTAGTTTAGTAAAATTTTATTGCAAAAGGTTTTAGCTCTGATAATGGTCATGACTGAACTGACTTAGACAGACTGATTTCTTTTTTATGTGTAATGAATATTATATATGACACTTTTATAGTGAGTATTTTATAACAGTATTTAACATTTTCAATTTTTGATAGCTGGATGGATGTAAGAATTCCACTAATATGGTATGTTATGCAAAAGAACCAATATAATGCAGATTTAGCTATTTTAATTTTCTTGTACACCTTTTATCAAAATATTTTTTATGCAACTGTGAAGGCTTCAATTCTCAAAATGGCAGAGTAGCTGTCTCTAGCAAAGGATTAAGTGCAACTATAAAATGATGAGTTACGGGTCCTGCACAATCTCTTGTTGTAATGACTCTCTTTACAATAAATGTTCTTCAGCTTTTATGTACTGCAGGAAATCTGTGATTTCCTTTCTGTAAGCAGCTGTGGGAAAATATCGGTGTCTACCCAGTTCAAAGTGATTTCCTGAAAACCTATGTGTATATGCAAATGAAATGATCTCCCTTCTCTCTTGCCTCCAAAGATCATTTCCTTAGGTACATCAGGCTTTGACTGGCTCTCCCATTTGGAAACTAATCTTTACATCCTGATTTTTGGAGGAGATTTTTCATTCATTAACCCATAGCTGGAAGAATCCTTAAAGATCATCGAACCTAAACCCCTCCTTTTCCAAAAAGGGAAACTGAATTCATAAACCATAGCTGGAAGGATCCTTAAAGATCATCTAGTCAAGCCCTTCCTTTTCCAAAAAAGGAAACGAAGACCTAAGAGAAAAATTGACAAGGCCATGTTGCCAAGTCAATTAAATTAATGGCCAAGTCACTCCTCCTCTCTGAGCCTCAGTTTCTACACTGTTAAAGGAGAGAAACTGAGGAACAGGAATTGACAGATTCCTGAGTGTATAGGAACATTCACAAAGGTCCCTGGCCAATGTGAAAGGCACCCAAGAACAGATAAAAAGAAATAATGTGGAGACGTGGTACTCACAAAATCCCAAACCCCCTCTGGGATAAGACAACTGTGATAATCATAAATCCATTTAAAGTTTATCTTGTGCAAAGAATTTAAGTTGAGGTCGTTTCCCTTGATTCCTTAGAGATGACCCTTGGAATTCCCTACCTTTATGTATTTAAAACCTCGAGACTACACCCAAGGATTTGGCCAAATGAATGGGAGCCACAGAAACCACCTACTAATCTGATGTCAGCTGATCTCAGAAAGGGGGCTATGATTCAATCAATCACGTTGAGACTGAAAAAACCAAACCCATTGCCATCGAGTTGATTCTGACTCATAGTGACCCTACAGGACAGGGTAGAACTGCCCCACAGGGTTTCCAAAATGTGGCTGGTGGATTCAAACTGCAGACCTTTTGGTTAGCAGCTGTAGCTCTTACCAGTGGTTGATTTTTATTTGGCTTCCTCCTCTTCTCCTTAAAAGCCTCATTGTAACTCACCTGCATTGAGCCTTTTTTTTTTTTTAACAAAATGGCCTACCTGTATGCATACAGAGTAACGGCTTGAATAAACCCTATATACTTTGTGTTTTGATTATTTTTAACACCACCCGTAAAAAGAGGTGGTTGAACTATAATACAAGGATGCTTCCAGCTCTGGTGTAGACATAGGCTGAGCAAAAATGTCATTCCTCTAAATGAGTGTTTCTCAACTTTTCATTCATAATCACCCCCCGCCCCGGAACATTTTTAGACATTTTTTCCACCCAAATCCATGAAATTTTAATAGCAAACACATACTAAATATCTCTTTATGCACTGTGGCTCTTTGGAGGGTCATAAGCCATTTCAATATCTAAGATTTTTTTCAGCCTCTTCCCAAGAACCAATTTTTGCCCTCATGAGGGTGCTATCTCCCCCATTGAGAATGCATGTTCTAAATGGATTACACCAAGAGTGATTTTGCGGGACACATAAACACAACCCCAGAAGGTAGAGAGTGATGTTGATTCTTGAACCCATGTATGTATCTCTGATTTTCTCAGTTCTTCAAACATTTCACCTAAATGGCCTCAGATGGGCATCCCAATCTCCATGAGCTCATGGAACAGCTGGCCAAATGAACATCTACGTACTCTCTTGCTCTGATTTTGACACTGGGCAAACTCCAGAGCCCTTAGGCAGTGCTGTGAAGTGGAGGACTTTTAGAGAAAACCTTTGGTCTTTCAGTCAGCAGTACTGCCACCCAGTGCCTTTCAAAGGTCTCACCACTCATACGATGGTCACAGGCACAGTCTTCCCAGCACCTCTGGGAGCTGGCACCCAGCCTGCCTTGTCATTTCTGTGTACAGGAGCAGGAGATGATTGTTTCCAAGGGAAAATTCATACCATAGAAGGGTCAGCTGCTGACATATCCAGGCAGTTGGGATCACAGGGAGGATGACAGACAATAGGGAAGCAGCAGAGGCAAGGGCCATGGGCAGTTGCTGTTGGTCTCACACTAGTACAAGTGCAAAGACTATTGTGGCATTCCAGTAGAGGCCTCCCTGTGTCAAACGCCACGTGACAGCTATGTCCTGGCGGCAATGCTTGATGGAGGATGCTTTTTTCAATTTTTTTGAATACAATGAGTAAAACTGACACCTGTAATTGTGTTGGGGTTTAGTCAAAGGTGAGGAGCCTGAATTCAGAACATTCTCTCGGCTATTGGCTCTCAATCTTGGCTGCATGTTGGAATCACCTGGGGAGTTTTAACACCCATGTCTGGATCCCGATCCCAGAAATTCTGATTTCATTTGCCGGGGGTGAGACCTGGGCATCAGGGGTCTTTCTAAAGGTCCCTGAGTGATTGTAATGTGTGTTCAGGTTGAGACCCACTGTTAGGAGGATCAGTCAAGTCAAACACCCAATGTGCTGGCCTAGGTGGTCAAAACACTTGGAAGCAGCTGGGCAAAGTGTCTTGGGAAACCTGCATGGAAGCCCTTCTTTTCTCTGCTCGGGGTCCCAGCCTGACTGTGGACCTCCCTCTGGAAACATGAAATCAAATGCAACAAGGAGCTGAGGTCTTGGGACAGATCTGAGTTTCCCAGAGCCAATTTTTGAGGCCAGTTAACCAGTTCTGCTGGTTTGCGGAACCCGATTACAGCTCCCTCACTCCAGGAGGAGTGTCAAAAGTCACTTGAAATTCACTTTAAAGATAATGGTATATGCCATTTTGCTTCTGAATTTGGGGCAAGGGGAGAAACACTGGGAAAACAAGTGACTTTGGACCTAATCAGCACCATTCTCCCTCTGGCAAGAGCAGCAACGGGCTGCAAAGCAGGCTGGGGCTGGGCTACCAAATGTTGGACTGGCTTGTAAAGTGCCTTCTTTGTTTTCCTTCAAAGCATAATACCTTAATGGGAGCAAAGCCACGAGAGGAAGGGAACCTACCAGGGCATCAGCTTTGTGCTTCAGCTTCTTAGCCTCCTGCATGTAATAATCAGCATTGTGGACCCTAAACAAACAAATCACACTCTTTCAGAAACCAGTGTTGATACTTTTCACCTTTTGATTAAAAGACTGAAGAGTCAAAGCAAAATTATTTTTTGCTACAAATCTATTCCTATACAATGCCTTGGAAAAGGCAGTGAATGCTGTCATTCATGTTGTAACCAACCTTGAAATAATCCAGTAAATGCAATCTGAAGTGCATAATGGCTTATTAGGATAAATAATCCCATCCTCCACCCCCCACCATTACAGTTGTCCAAAGAGAGCAAACGAAACCTAGATGTGTATCTATTTGTTGGTACGCATTTGCATCTGAGAACACGGATAAGAAAGGAGGACAAAGTAACCTGGAATTAAGCACCTGCCTTTGGAAACAGCAACAAAGCTGCACAACTAAACATGGGCGAAGCCATTTCTGGGTGGGGACAGAGATATGTGGGGGGTGGGGTGGGGGAGGGTATATATTTAAGGTTATAGGATATGGTGCTGAAGTCCTATTCCAGGTGACACCCGCATGGAACCAGAAATGCCATACAGCCCCCACCCCCCCCATTCAGCGTCCCAAATTGTGTCCATGAGAATCTGGGGACAACATACGAGTCATCAAAAGTGAGCTTGGGTCTCCGAACATTGGTGCTGCTGCTGGACAGAAGGGGCAGGGCCGCCCAGGACGTCATCTCCAGGTGACTGCTATCCATGAGGCCAGTAGTGATGGTAGAGGTGATGGTGGAAATGGTGGTGGTAGTGGTTGTGGTGGTGGCTGTGGCCGTGGTGGTGGCTGTGACAGTGGCAGTGACAATGGCAGTAGCAGTGACAGTGGCAGTGGTGATAGCAGTGTTGGTGACAGTGACGGTGGCAGAGGCTGCCTTTTTTGGAGTGTCTCCCTCCTGGGAAAAAGGAGGACAAATAGCTTCCATTAGGTCCAGCTCTTGAGAACATCTTTTCATAAATTCTCTGAATGTCCAGCACACTGGGAACAAGGCAGGAGGAAAGGAAACAATGCACACGGCTTGAGGGGAAATAGGTGGCCCTGACATATTGTGGGGGCTCTGTGAATCACCAGCTTTTGTTCTAGGATGACACCAAAAACTGAGCTAATTAGGTGCTGTGATTACATGGCCCCCATCATGCCATTAGGAAGGCTATTTGTAAAGGTCCAAATACAGTAGAAAAAGTGAGAGGGGAGAGCAGGGAAGGGGAAAGGGAGGGGAGGATAGGGAGAGGAGGAGAGAGGAAGAAAGAGAAGGAAAGAGGAGGATGGAGACAGGGAGCGATAAGATGGAGAGAGAGAGAGAGAGAGAGAGAAATATAGACTGAATAGAGTCTGACCCTGATGTGAACATTTTTGATAGGGCAACCAGCCCAGAAACTATCTCTAGGGTAAGTAGAGTCCACTGGTCGCTCTGCAAAATATTAGATCCAGTCCAGTAAAATACCAGCAAACCAAGCATTGTCCTGCCATAGTCAGCACCCCGGGCCAGAGGCTGAAGAAGGCCTTTTGTTCATATGAGACACTTGACCAATTTCTGGTTAAATGAATACCACATGAGTATGCCTCCTCATTTTAAAGTCTTGGGACTGTGAAGTCTCATTTCAACCAGGTCAAAAATCAGAACGGTCTCCCTCTGAACTGTCATTGTCATAGAGAGGCTGGGACCCAGTGGAGAAAGTAGGTGGTAAGATGTGTAATTCTGTTCCTGTGATAGTGCTGTGTCACAAGACCACCTGCCGTGCTCCCATGGCAGACCCTGCCCTCTCACGCCTGGCAACCCTCCCTGCCCTTGGCATCTGTGGGACTCTCCTGACCCCTCTACGTCTGACCACGCTTTCCATGGTACCTTTCCCCCCTCTGCTCTCATAAGTTGGTATCTCCCTAAGGGCGGTATCCCCCAAGGTTCTCTCCTCAACGTTCTTAGTTCTTGACAAGATGTACCAATCCTGTACGTGTTGGCACAGCTTCAGCCAAATGAAGGTAACTCATAAATGGAAACCTCCATCTTAGTCTCTCTCCTAAGCTCCACACCTGCAGTGACAACCTCTAGAAAGTTACCTAGATGATCCATTAGCACCTCAAATGTCTCTAAAACTAAATAGCTAACTGGACCCAGCTGGTCCCCTGTATCTGTTAATGGCAGGACAGTCCTCTGCCACTAAGCTGGATTTCTCCACACCAGCGAGGAGTTTCCAAGTTCGGTTTGGCAGGGCTCCGTGGGACTGTGGTAGTCCCTGGGGCCAGAGGCATTGGAGCTCCCTATCCTTAGCTTCCATCTGAGCTGTTCTGCTTTAATCTCCTTTACATATTAAAGTTTTGTAAATTATTGCATTTCAAAAAACGGTGATGCTCTCAAAGTGTTTTTTTTTCTAAATTTTATTTATTTTGTTGTTGTTGTTGAGAATATACACAGCAAAACATACACCAATTCAACGTCTTCTACATGTACAATTTAGCGACATTGGTTACATTCTTCAAGTTGTGCAATCATTCTCATCCTCCTTTTCTGAGTTGTTCGTCCCTCATTAACAGAAACTCACTGCCTCCTAAGGTTGCTATCTAATCTTTCCAGTTGCTGTTGTCAATTTGATCCCATATAGACAGTTCTTTAGAGTACAATGGTTAAGGTAGATATTTTTCACTAGTTAAGCTAAATAATTGCTTGGTTTTAAGATGACTTCAGGGAATATTTTTCGTTCAAGGCTTAAAGATTATCTCAGGGCAGTAGTTTCAGGGGTTCATCCACCCTCTATGGCTCCAGAAAGTCTACAGTCGATGAGAATTTGAAATTCTGTTCTTCCGTTTTCCCCCTTTTGATCAGGATTGCTCTATGGAATCTTTGATGAAAATGTTCAGTATTGGTAGCCAGGCACCATCCAGTTCTGATCTCATGGTAAAGGACGTAGCTGTTCATGCAGGCAATTAGCCACACATTCCATGTTGTTGTTAGGTGCCATTGAGTTGGTTCTGATTCACAGTGACCTTATATACACTAAACACTGCCTGGTCCTGCGCCATCCTCAGAATTGTTGTTAGTTTGAGCCCACTGTTGCAGCCACCATGTCAATTCATCTCACTGAAGGTCTTCCTCTTTTTCACTGACCCTCTACTTTACCAAGCATGATGTCCTTCTCCAGGGCCTGGTCCCTCCTGATAACATGTTCAAAGTACGTGAGATGAAGTCTCGCCATCCTTGCTTCCAAGGAGCCCTCTGGGTGTATTTCTTCCAAGACAGACTTGTTCATTCTTCTGGCAGCCCATCATATATTCAATATTCTTCACCAACATCACAATTCAGAGGCATCAGTTCTTCTTCGGACTTCATTATTCATTGTCCAGCTTTCACATGCATATGAGGTGAATGAAAATATCACAGCTTGGGTCAAGTGCACCTTAGTCCTTTACCAGTGGCAAAGCTTCCAGTATCACAGCAACACATAAGCCACCACAGTTCGGCAAACTGACAGATGTGACACATTCCATATCCTCCTCCTGTTTCTGACTCTCCTTCCTCTGCTGTTCCAGGTGAATAGAGACCAGTTGCTTTGCTTTGGATGGCCACTTGCAAGCTTTTAAGATCCCAGGCACTACGAAATGAACAAGGAGGTAGAACGAAGCACTGAACAGTTACTAGGCCAATTAACTGGGATGTCCCATGAAATCACGACCCTATACCTCCAAACCAAGGAACCAAACCCCATGAGGTGTTTGGTTGTACATAAGCAGCCTCAGCAGCTACTCTGTTTGTTTGTTTTTTGTCGTTGTTCTAAATATATCTATCACACAACTTTTGCCAATTTAAGTTTTTATAGGTGTACATTTTATTGACTACAATTACAATAATCGCCTGTGCAACCCTACCCTTAATCAATGCAATTTTTCCATCACTATTAACCACCCCCTTTCCCCTTCCCTCCCACTCCTGGTAACCACTAATAAACTTTCATCTCTATTCATTTGTCTTTTCTTGTCTTTTTATATAAGTGAGGTCAGACAATATTTGTCCTTATGTGATTGGCTTATTTCACTCAGCATAACGTCTTAAAGCTCCAACCACACTGTAGCATTTATCAAGACTTCATTTCTCCTACTGGCTGAGTAGTATTCCATTGTATGTGTGTACCACATTTTGTTTATCCATTCATCTGTTGATAGGTATTTAGGTTGTTTCCACCTTTTGGCTATTGTGTAGTGCTGCCATGAACATTGGTGTGCAAGTCTCTTTTGAGTCTCTGCTTTCCAGTCTTTGGGGAATATACCTAGGATTGGACTTGCTGGGTCTTATGGTAGTTTGTCATACTGTGGTGGCTTGCATGCTGCTGTGATGTTGGAAGCTATGCCACTGGTATTTCAAATACCAGTAAGGTCACCCATGGTGGACAAGTTTCAGCGGAGCTTCTGGACTAAGACAGACTAGAAAGAAGGACCTGGCAATCTCCTTCTTAAAAAATTGGCCAATGAAAACCTAATGAATAACAGCTCAACATGAAGAAAACAAAAATCCTCACAACTGAATCACTAACCAGCACGACAAATGCAGAAAAGATTGAAGTAGTCAAGGATTTCATTTTACGTGGATCCACGATCAATGCCCATGGAAGCAACAGTCAAGAAATCAAATGAAATATTGCATTGGGAAAATTTGCTGCAAAAGACCTCTTTAAAGTGTTAAAAAGCAAAGATGTTACTTTGAGGACTAAGGTGCACCTGACCCAAGCCACGGTATTTTCAATTGCCTCATATGCATGCGAAAGCTGGAAAATGAATAAGGAAGACCAAAGAAGAACTGATGCCTTTGAATTATGGTGTTGGTGAAGAATATCAAATATACAATGGACTGCCAGAAGAACAAACAAATCTGTCTCAGGAGAGTACAGCCAGAATGCTCCTTAGAAGCAAGGATGGAGAGATTTTGTCTCACGTACTTTGAACATGTTATCAGGAGAGATCAGTCCCTGGAGAAGGACATCATGCTTGGTAAAGTAGAAGGTCAGCAGTAGCTGTATAGTATGTTTTAAAATCAGGAAGTGTGAGTCCTCCTACTTTGTTATTCTCTTTCAGTAGTGTTTTAGCTATTCCGGGCCTCTTGCCATTCTATATAAAGTTGAGGATTGTTTTTTCTATTTCTGTAAAGATGGCTGTTGGAATATTGATTGGGATTGCACTGAATCTATAGATGGCTTTGGGTAATATTGACATCTTAACAATATTAAGTCTTCCAATCCATGAACATGGGACATCTTTCCATTTATTAAGTCTTCTTTAATATCTTTCAGCAACGTTTTGTAGTTTTAACAGTGTAAGTCCTTCACGTCTTGGTTAGATTTATTCCTAGGAATTTTATTGTTTGAGATGCTGTCGTGAATGGAATCGTTTCTCTAATTTCCTTTTCAGATTTCTCATTACTGGTGTATAGAAACCCAACTGATTTTTGGTTGTTGACCTTGTACCCTTTAACTTTGCTAAATTCCTCTATTAGCTCTAGAAGTTTTCTTGTGGATCTTTGGGATTTTCTATTTACAGGATCATACTATCCATGAATACAGATAATTTTACTTCTTGTTTTCCAGTCTGGGTATCTTTTATTTCTTTCTCTTGTTTAATTGCTCTGGCTAGGACTTCTCATGCAATATTGAATAGACGTGGTGAGAGCAGGAACCCTTGTCTTGTTCCTGATTTCAAGGGGAAAGCTCTCAGTCTTTCTCCATTAAATATAATGTTGGATGTAGGCTTTTCATATATGCCCTAAATCATATTGAGGAATTTCCCTTCTATTCCAATCTTCTTTAGGGTTTTCATCAAGAAAGGGTATTGGATTTTATCACATGCTTTTTCTGCATCTTTAGTGTGGTGCAATGGATTGCTTTTATATGGCCTTTCTCGCCATGGTATTGTAACTCTCACCAAGAGATTGGGTGGGACTATGCAAATAAGGTGCGTATGGCCTACCAAGGGGATTGGATAGCATGCTAATAATACAAATAAGTTGCATGGCAGCCTTGTGGGGGTGTTACCTAGCAAATAAAATGTATGGAACCCTAACGAGGGGATTGGTCAGTTTTGCCATCCTGCTAGGCTTAAAATGAGCCATTCCAGAGGCAGAAAGAGGGAACATTACTAACAAGAAAGAAGAGCTAGGAGTGGAGTATGTCCTTCGGACCCAGGTCCCTGTGCTGAGAACCTCCTAGACCCAGAAGACACAGAGAGAGAGAGCTTTAACACCAGAGATGGTGAGAGATGGCGAGAAGCAGTGCAGAGAAATGGTGGCACCAGGGCCAGGAGACTTGCAGGAGATGGTACAGTAGGCTTCCTGGCCCACAGAGAGAAAGAGCTGAGCGCCTTTGGGCAGGAGGCTTGCTGGTGGAGTGGAGTGCCTCTGGGCACTTATCAGCGGATCTAAAGAGCTTTGTAACACTTTCTCGAGCAGGGCAGAAGCCAGGCTGAGGGGCCGAGGGGCCAATGGGCCGAGGGACCAAGACGCTGAGGGGCTGAGGGCCAGAGAGAGGCCTGCCTATGGGCATGGCTGAGAAGAGGCTGTCCTGATCAAAGAACTGTATCCTGAGTTGTAACTTGTTACTTCCCTAATAAACTCTATAATCGTCAGTATTGTCTGTGAGTTCTATATGGCCACTGCAATGAATTATCGAACCCCACAGAGAAGTAGAGAGTGCTCTGAGAGGGACAGCTGGTGTCAGAATTGGTAAAAAAGTTGGAGAAAGGAGATATGTTTAACCTCCACTTCATAAAAATCAGTCTTGGGCTGTTGGTGCTGATAATGATTCTCTCTCCTTCCCCTTGTGCAGTTAGAAGAGCAGATCTGACACTTTCACCGTGCCATTTTTACACAGAGAGATGATCATGCAGTTCTTTTTCTTTGTTCTGTTGATATGGTGTATTACATTGATTGATTTTCTAACGTTGAACCATCCCTGCATTCCTGGATAAATCCCACTTGGTCATGGTGTATGACTCTCCTAATATGCTGTTGGATTCTGTTTGCTAGCATTTTGATGAGGATTTTTGCCTGTGAGGGCAGTTGTACTCTGTCCTATAGGGTCGCTATGAGTCGGAATCAACTTGATGGAAATTTCTTTTTTTTTTTAATTCATAAGAGATATTGGCCTGTAGTTTTCTTTTTCTTGTGGTGTCTTTGTCTGGTTTGGGTATCAGGGCTATGTTTGCTTCATAGAATGAATTAAGGAGTATTCCTTCTTTCTCTATATTTTGGAAGAGTTTAAACAATATTGGTATCAATTCTTCTCTAAATGTTTGGCAGAATTCCCCAGTGAAGTCATCTGGTCCAGGACTTTTTTTTGTTGGGAGATTTTTGATCACTGATTCGATCTTCTCACTTGTTATGGGTCTGTTGAGACTTTCTATTTTCTCCTGAGTCAGTTTGGGTAGGGTGTGTGCATCTAAGAATTTGTTCATTTCATCTAGGTTATCCAGTTTGTTGCCATACAGTTGTTCATAATATTCTGTTATAATTCTCTTTATTTCTATCAGGTCAGTTGTAATGTCCCCTCTTTCATTTTTTTATTTTGGTCATTTGCATCTTTTCTCTTCTTTTCTTTGTCAGTCTAACTAAAGGTTTGTCAATTTTATTGATCTTTTCAAAGAACCAACTTCTGGTTTTATTGATTTTCTCAACCGTTCTTTCTGTTTTCCATTTTATTTATTTCTGCTCTGATCTTTGTTATTTCCTTTCTTCTGGTAGGTTTAGGCTTAGTTTGCTCTTCTCTTCTAGTTCCTGGAGTTGTCAAATGAGGCCGTTAATTTGAGATTTTTTTTATGTAGGCATTTATTATTGTAAGTTTCCCTCTGAGTACTGCCTTTGCTGAATACCACAAGGTTTGGTATGCAGTGCTTTCATTTTCATTTGACTCTAAGAAATTTGTGATTTCTTTCTTGACTCATTGGTTGTTTAATAGTGTGTTGTTTAATTTCCATATGCTTGTGTATTTTCCATGTTTTTTCCTGTTATTGATTTCTAGTGTCACTCCGTTGTGGTCAGAGGAAATACTTTGTATGATTTCAGTCTTTTTAAATTTATCAAGACTTGCTTTGTGACCTAAACTAAAGCTTTTTTTTGAAAACCACTGCTCTATTCCATTTATTTTCTTCCTCTCCATTACCCTTATCCAATTAATTACCAAGTCCTGTTGATTTTACCTCCCCCAGATCTTTCAAACCTGCCCCTTCTTTCTCCTCAGCTTTAAATTTCAGGCCCTCATGGCTTCTTTTTTTTATTGTGGTAAAAATATATATAACAAAACATTTGCCATTTCAACCTTTTTTGTGTGTATAATTCAGTGACGTTAATTAAGGTCACTATGCTGTGCAACTATCACCACTATCCATTTCCAAATTTTTTGTTCACCTTTAACATAAACTCAGTGCCCCTTAAGCAATAACTCCCCCCTCCCCAAATCCACCCACCCCAGGTAACCACCAATAAACTTTGGTCTCTATGCATCTGCATGACTTCTGAGGCTATCAGATAGCTTCCTGGCCTGCTCCTGGCTCCTGGTCTCCCAACCTTGAGGATAACTTCTCCAGTCCCCCCCTCAATCTGCTGCTTGCCAGCATGAGCTTCCTCAACAAAACTCCAAGCGTGCCACTGCTCTGCACTCAAATGCAAAATAAAGTCTGAACTCTTTTCTGGCATTCAAGGCCCTCCCTGACCTGATTTCACCTTTTGGCCTCATCTTCCAGTGCCCCCTTCCAGAGGCTTCTGCTTCAACCAAACTGAACATGCCCTCTGCTTTATTTTCATACCATCTTATGTTTGAAAAAGCCTTCTCTTCATTTCTAAAGGAGTCCCTGGGTGGCGCAGTTAAGGGCTTGACTACTGACCAAAAGGTTGGTGGTTTAAGTCCATTCAGAGGCACCTCAGAAGAAAGGCCTGGTGATCTACTTCTGAAAGATCAGTCACTGAAACCTCTATGGAGCAGAGTTCTACTCTGACACACATGGGGTCGCCATGAGTCGGAGTTGACTCCATGACAACTGGTTTACTGATTTCATTTCTTAACCTTACTCATTCATTAAGGCCCAGACTCATCTTCCAGGAAATCTGTGTTGTGTCAATGATTGTAGGCCATTCAGAGGCCTATCTCTGTGCCTTCCTTACAACACTGATCACCAATTATTTTAAATTCTAGTTCTTTGGGCATGTGTCTCATTCCTCCCTTAGACAGTGAGCTCTCTGAGCACTGGAGCCATCTTTGATTTATGACACCACGCCACCACCCACTCTGCCCCCTAGCTCAGTGCTCTCAGTGTTGGCTGCAGGTGTGCATGCCTGCCTTTGTGAAGGGTCACTTTAAAAATAAAAGCCAAATGTGAATATGTCTTGAATCCGTGAACATCAATCATTTCCACTTGATCCTGGACCTTCTGATCATCAAACAATTCCGACCACCAAGAGGTCACTGAGATAAATGTGTCGAGAGGTTGCACATCTGAAAATTGTTATGATGGATATGGAGGAAATATTTTAAAGATCATCATAGATTTTATTCAACCATTTTATTAACACATAACCAGAGCCATCTGAAACTGCTAAGCTAGTTCTGTGTTTCAACAGCCAGAGCTAGACTGGCCCAGACCAAACAGTGGGGTCAGTCCAAGTCAGCTCCACTTGTCTCTGTGGCCAAAATCTGTGGCAAGAACCCTGAAACACCACATCTACCACGCACACAGTGCTGATGTCATTCCTGACACATCTGACTGCAATAGCTTGATTCCGCCATGATCGTATAAGTAATATAAACATGTCTTCTGTTCACACTCACCCACCCATTGAATCAACAAACAGGACTTCTGCCTAAATGGACCAGAGATGACTCTGGGTTCACCAAATTGAACACACTTTTGGAGCAGGAAGAAGCCATCTAGAATCTACAAGATCATCTAGTGAAATCCACTCATTTTATGGACTCAGAGATGTTTTAGAAGTAATCTGTTGCGGTGCTAGCACTATACCACAAGTCTCTTAACTTCCAGGTTAGGGCAAACATTATATCACAAAATCTTCCAGATTTCAAAGCATTAATAGAAATAAGGAATGGCCAAAGAACAGGCACTGGTTTCTCAGTCCTATCATAGGGAACAAGTGCCAGCTGTGGTGGTCAGTATTATGGAAGTGTCTCCCCTCTACCCACAAGACAGGAAGGGATTGGACTGAAGGCTCTCTAAGGCCCCCAGTCTCTGCCCTTGCAGTCGGACTGGGGAAGCAAGATGGGGTGGAGAATTAACCTGGAATGAAAAGTTCTTCCTGAGTTGGAATAATCAAGATTTGAAATAATAGAGAGTTTGTGTATTTGTGTATGCACACACCTATATTTTCTATCTGCCTCTCCCTCCTTTCCCCCTGCAACATCTCCATCTGGTCAAAATGAACTGAGTTAACTTGTTTCTTCTTGGACACTTAGTTCTATCTCTCCTAAGACACTTACATTCACAGATATCCCTTTGAAAGTCGCACAGAATTTGCCTTCGCTTCTCTTAGGTTTGGTCGAGGTGACCTGTCCAGTCACAGGCATGATTTTTTCGTGGCTGAAGGGACCATTGTTGCCACTGACATTTCTGCGGCGTGGGGGGTCCTCTGGCAGTGGGGAAAGTGGAGGAGGGAACAGCTTTTCTTCTTTCCTTCTGTTTGCTCTCCTGGATGAATTATTTCTGAAGAAACAGAAAGCATAGGGTGTCATAAAGCCTTGTCTCTAGTTATTCTGATTTTTCCCCCATGATGCTGGTATTTTCAGCTAAAGTAACATTTTAACTGGTGGTCCTTTGGCTATGATAAAGGGTATATATATAAAAATGCATATAGATATATAGATATAGGTATGGCTATAGATATAGATCTATAGAGATTATAGATATGTAGATACAGATATAGATATAGTCATACATATGTATCCAAAAATAAACATGTTTTTGAAGCAGAACTCCATGATAAATGTGAATGTCTAACGGAGTACGCTACACTGTGATATTTGCAACCTTTCAAGAATACCGCTAATTAGATTTTTATGGAAAATACAATGCAGACTTTAAACTCATCATTTTTCAGGATGGTGCCTACTTACTTTGTCCTAGAACTTAACTGCTCAATCACTCAATAAATGGTACAATAAACAATTAGAGGAAGGATATTTTCTTAAGATATACTATGCTTATAAATCACTTAGAAATGCATAACACACCAAGTACTCCTGTAACACATTGCAAATTGCATACAAATTGTTCTACCCCGATGCCAAGGCATAATGAGCCGCTGACCTTAAATTATTATATTGAAGTACTGATGTACTCTACAAAACTCTATTTAAAAAATATTCTTTTGTCATATTGACATTAAACAGCTTCAATCCGAAAAGTACTCCTGTGCTTTTGAACTGATTTATCTGCCCATTAAATGGGCACCATCAAATAGACTGAGACTGGAAATAAAACAGAAAAAAGAACAACTAAAACCTTAATGGTAGCTGCTTAACATGGTAATTGGGTCATGGATTTTCATTTTAGTTACTGTCTTAGTCTAATCAATGAAGATTACTTGAATTTTAATCTTTTCTGGGACAACTAATATTGCACTACGTAGCCATTTACTTTTCATGATTATTGACTACAATTTTCAATAGCAAATTAAGTCAACAAGAATTTATGTTTTCCTCTTGGTCAATTTCAGTCAGTGTCTAGAAATATAGATTTACAATATCTCAAAGCAACAAATCAAAGCTGAACAAGCATTCAAGTGGTCTGATTTTCTGAACTGGTAGAAGTCAATACAGTCTCCTTGTTCCACTTCCCCTGTGTTGCACAAATTTGCTAATTGTAATAATATTTGTCATCTTCTCCACCTTTTATTTCAGAAATGTGGTCCTATGTCAATTTTTGTCACGTAGTAAAAATTAAAGAAAGAAACCATAACTGTTTATTTCATTACCTTAATTGGTTAGAATTAATTTTAAAATATGTGTCAATGGATTTTTTAAAATGCTTTGACACACAGAACCATTTTAAGAGAGTCGTGAGGCCTAACTAAAATGATGGTGAACAGAATGATTAAGATTCTTGTCCATGAGGAAGCTCCACAAACATCAGACCATACTATCTATAATCATTATGGAGGCATCAGATCTTTGGGGATTTATATAGTGAGATGACAAGCATTGTTGGGCATCTATAAAACGCAAATGGTTCCTTAGCTATGGCCACTCTCCTACGACCTGAGCTACCTGAGAAGGTAGTGGGGGCTGCCAGGGAAAGAGCTGCCGTTTAGAGGCAGTTTATTTGCCATTGGCTACTACCATAATGCAGGGCTACCAAACTGACCAGTGGGGACTCAGTACATTCTGTGCAGTAGGCACCAGTGACCTGGCACCTATCCATCTGCCTGGAAGTGACCTGGAACCATGGGGATTTTGATGACTTACTTGGGAAAAGACACCCAGGGAGCATTTTCTAGAGACTCCTCTATCTCTGTTATGGCTTCCCACTATAAGAAGAGTTTTGCTTCTTTGCATACTTCACATAATAGGCCAGAGAAGGCCAGCAAACAAGAAAAGTGGAGGCATCACTATTCCCACAAACCCTCAGAGGCCATGCTGATGGTTCAAGCTCCAGAGAAGGACAGGGAAGGACTGGGTAGGATCCTTCTGTTGGATGATGGGAAACTCGGCTGTCATAGTCTCATATGGCATTCTTGGCTGGGTTTAGAATATACATTTAGAAAAGTGAATGCTGTCTTCTAGAAAACTCCAAGGATTTGGTTTGAAGGGTCAACAAATGGACAAAGGAGCAGGTAAAGCTTGAGGAGAGAGCTCCCAGGAGAAGACTTCTGAGAGGCCAGTTTTGGATTTGTTTGTTGAGAGTAAGAACCCGACTCAGGCCCTTCCCAAATGAGAAATGCTGCTAAGTAAACATTGGTTTCCTAACTACTAGAAAGACTGGAAAGACCATGGATAAAAACACCATTTTATGAAAACAAACTCAAATTACTAGACATTTACTTAATGCCTGGTCATTTCTCTTCCATGAGATGGGGCAAGTGGCAAGTCAATGGGTATCTTAGGGTCACTGGCAGTGGGGGCTGATGGTTGTAGGGGCTAATACCTTGCTGTTCCTTGACTTTTCCTTTTATTTTTTCAGCTTGGTGATTCTTTTAATTTTTTTTAAAAAAAATTAATTGTGGTAAAATATATACACAAGAAATTTGCCATTTTAGCTCTTTTTAAGTGCAATTCAGTGGCAATAATTACATTCCCCATGTTGTACAACCATCACCACCATCTCTTTCCAAAAGTTTTCCATCCTCCGCAAACAGAAACTCAGTGCCATTTAAGCAGTCACTTCCCAGTTTCCCTCCCTCAACTCCTGGTACCCATTAATAAACTTTGGTCTCTATACATTTGCTAGTCTAGATATTTCCTGTAAGTAGAATCATACAATATTTGTCCCTTTTGTGACTGACTTATTTCACTGAACGTAATGTTTTCAAGGTTCACCCATGTTGTAGCATGTATCAGAACTCCATCTTCCTTATGGCTGAATAATATTCCATTGTATGTGTAGACCATATTTTCCTTATCCTATCATCAGTTGATGGAACTTTGGTTGTTTCCACCTTTTGGCTATTGTGAATAGTACTGCAATGAACATTGGTATATGTGTGTGTGTGTTTGCGTTGCTTCTTTCAAGTCTTTGGGAGTGGAATTGCTAGGTGCCTGCCTTTTCCTTAAGGCTTCAGATGCCCTGAACTGGTCAAAGCTGGAAACCAGGCAGCTATTGCCATCACGGCTATGCCATTTGAGTCCTTCCTCCTGGAAACAAAGGAGAGTCCCAGAATGACCATGTTTGCCCATGGGTAGAAGCATGTTTACCCATATACCAGAATCACCCTGAGGTCAAGGGCGTTGGCTTGCTCCACTGGAAGGGTTTCTAGTTCTGAGAATTCCAAACATGTGATGGGATGTTTCAGAGCCAAGTTCTACCAGGTGATACAGGTGCACCTCACAAATAGCTATGGATCTCCAGGGAGGAGGCAGCCCAGGCCCAATTCTCCTGAGTATAGAGAGCAAGGCCAGTGGTAATTGGCCTCTTTCCTACTTTTCATCTCAAAACAGCAAGGATTCAGACAAATGTAAGCTGATAACTTATTTCTGACATCTTATCTGTGGCAGATTGATGTCATATCACTGATGTTAAACAGTAATCTGTGAAATCAATTGTTAGCAGCAGTTATCCAGATTGCCTCTCTGCTCTGGGCTGTTAATAGGCTCCAAAACTGGTCTTTGATGGAAGTAATCTCTAATTTTACATGAATTTATGGCAATGATTACCCAGATGGAATGGTTAAAGCAGCTGACATGATTGTTAGTTACATTATATTTATAAGACAGAAGAATGTGGTCAAAATGCTTGGTATAAACAGAAGGCAGGACTTCTCAAGGGAAGGTTGGTACAGTTTGAGTGAGGGGGAGACAAGGCAGCCTGCTGCTTGACACTGGCACCTTCCACTGAGAGGGAGCAGAGAGAAGAGGTGCCAGCTGGTTGGAATTAACATGTCCAACCCAGCTGCCTTCCAAACACAGAACTATCCCAATCAAAGGGCAACTCCCAGACCCTCATCTCTCTGACCTCACCAAACGTGTCCTTCTCCTGGCCTCCATGGAGTTCAGGAGGTAGCTCCTGGCCCTCAACCTTCATATTAACTTTAAGTAAGGACACCAAAGAGGAAGCAGCTGGCCGTCCTGTTAAGACCCAGGGGTTGCTTTTCCAGGGCAAGTGTTTAATCACCATCGGAAATGAAAGTTCTCCAGAAGCAGGTGATCTGGTAAAGTAAGAGGTGCCTCTTGATGCTTCCCTTTTTTAATTCATTTACTTCCTTGCTTCGCTTAGTGCTAAAAATTTGTTTGGACTGATTTCTGTGATCAAGTTGAGTTGGAGTAGAGAAATGTTGCTACAAAGCTCATGTTGCCACCCCAATCTGGTAGCCTGTATTACACACTTATCCCACCTTGTTAGACCAGTGGCTGGGTACAGCTGTCAGGTCTGGACTGAGCAACTCCTGTTTTTACCTAACTTTCCTCTGGGACAGGATTCCCCCAGTGGTTTCAACTGGGATCTCTTATGAGTCTGAACAACCGAGCCATCATATGTGGACAGGGCAAACTCACTCTCTAGTGTTGGGAGGCTTGTGGGGTGGGGCTGGTGAGATGCAAGGTGGGAGCAGGCAGATGGTGGTGACCTCCTCCAGGCGCTGCTTCTTCTCAGGAATTTTCTCTGCAACTTCTGTTGGCTTTAACAGGAACAAAAAGATACACAGAGCCTGAAATACTTAGTACATTCAGACAACCATGTTTCATACATTTAAAAAAATCATCACAGTAGACAGTTTGCTCCTATTTTAATTTCTAGATTGGGTGGGGAAGTCAAACATACACCTTTGATTGGACAGAGAAACAGTCAGCCTCACCTCGCCTAGTCCTACTGAGGAGTTGTCATTTGAGAGAGCTGAGATGTGATGTTAACCTCTGATTAAAGATTTGGTGGCACAGGAATCTCAAAACAATAGTAACGAGAATCTATAATTTGCAGACATTTCTCCCATCAACAATAACCCCACAAATGAGTATTTCGGAATTAACATTGCAACTCTTGGCATACATCCTGTCCAAGCAGCGTGGAGACTGTGGGCGACTAAAAGTTACTTATGCAATCAACAACATGCAAGGAAATTAACATGGGCAAGGCACGCCTTTGGACCTTTGCATGGGCTGGTCTGAAGGTACACTTAGACCACTGGTTGAACCTTTGTTATCACAAAGAATGACCTGAACTGTGAGAAAATATATTTCTATTCTTTAAAGACACCTGCTTGTGGTTTTTCTGATGCAGGAGCACCAGGTAACTAAGACACTAGGGACGTGATCTTTCTTCATAATCTTCTTTCCTACACATCATAATCCCTCATGGGCCTTACTGAATGTTCACACCATTGGTTGCCAAACCCTGAGCATTCCTAGCACTTCCTCTCTGGTCATGTGAAATCGTGCATTCCCCAGGGAAGGCATTGTTGCCTTCACCAAAGCCTGCAATCCACTGCCATTGGCCTCCTTGAAAGTGAGACTCAAGACCAAGTTAGCCAACAGACAGCCACTGCTCAGGATCACTTGGCAGGCCTCTCAGAACAGTTTACCTTGTGCTTACGCTTGCCTTTAGGGGCGGGTTTTTCCACGGCTGAGGCAGCAGTCTGACGCTTCGGTTTCGAGGCAGTCTCCTTGTGGTCTGGCTTGGCAGGCACAGCTTGGAACGAGTTGTGGCCAGGTACTCTAGAGAGTAAGTCAAGGTCAATCTTCACCCAGAGATTTTTCAGATTCTCGTGGTCTCGTAGAGGAGACAGCAGCTCAGTATGCAGGACAGGCAGGGGTGAAAAAGTTGGCTCCTCGTTAGTGATGGTTAGGTTGTTGTTGTTGATGCTACTGTTGATTAAGGTGCTGAGGGTCAGGCTGGCACCACAGGTCTCCTTGGATTTGGCAATGTTTCCCCCAGGGACAATGCAAGGAGGCAGGACTTTGATCTGCAGGGTCTCTTCCTGATCTGTGTTGGAATCAGATGTAGACGAATCTGTTTCAATGAATTCCCGAGACTTGGGCACCATCTTGCCGGGCCCTCTATACTTCTTCTTCTCAGCAGCCAAGGGGATGTTAGCCCTTGGTTCTTTCCTTGGGACTGGCTTGTGGGCAGTGGCTTTGTTGCGGCCTCTTGGTGGGTCAGGAAGTTCCACGCTTTCTTTTTCTTTGGGAGTGCTGCTGGTAATATTTGGTTTGGACCAGGTAAAGTCGTCAACACTGTTCTTCTCTACCTTTTTGGGCTGTTTTTTCCCAATTGTCCTTTGAGAGGCTGTCTCAAGAGTTGTTGACAATTTATGCTTCAAAGCCTTTGTTTCTGGAGTTTTCTGGGTGGGCCGTGGACGAGCTTTGTCCCGAATGAGACTGAGGAGAGGCCTTTCTTTGGGTTCAGCCAGGATCTGGCTGGGGTTTGTCTTCACCTTGATCTGGACTTCCACTGGCTGGATGATTGGAGGAGGCAGAGAAATCGTCTCCATGGGTGTTTCATTTTGGCCACAAATAAATGACTTGTTCTGGGATGTCACTTTGTTAAGCCATTTATCCAGCTGCCACTTGTTGGTGGAGGGTGGCTCAGGCTGCAGATTGAGAAGCAGCAGCAAAAATTAATTTTACATTTGGGAAGTATGTAAAATTCTCAGGACCCTGACTGTTTGCTAATAAAAGCTTTGGATACTAAGTGACCATTCATACACACACACACACACACACACACACACACACACACATACATACCACATTAATCAAATTACCTAAATTGCCAGAAACTCCATAAACCTACCCCAGTCTCCTTATTCAAACTAATTTCCACTCCTTCTCTGAATATAGTCTCTGCTCTGGCCAGGAAGGAGAGAATTATTCCACAGGGTGGGCAAGGGGACCTGGCAGGGAAACCTGTTCTCAAAATCCTTTGGGGGGACTCATTACTCAACCTCTCACCAGGAGGCAGAAGTAATGGTCTCTAATACTGAAAGGAAATGTAAGTGTGCCTCAAATGTAACTCAAAAGAACAGGCTTTCCATCTGCCAAAGTGCCAAAGCCTCCTGTATGACACTGTAATTCACTGCAAACAGAGCAGGCCCTTTGTATTTTTACTGAAGGATGAAAAGATTTGACTTCCAAAAAAACCCCTGCACTTTCCTCAGTGTATGGGCAATAACCAATTTATGGGGACATGCGTGCAGACATTAGCGTCTGCTGTTAACCATGGGAATGACACATACAATTCAGGTCCTTGGTTTCCAACTCGAAATTCTGCCAGTTGAACTAAAAGAATCATCATTTTTATTAGAACCAATCTTCTTTCGAAAGCCATCAGCTAAGGCTTATGGCACCAGCCAATAGAGGGTGACAGAATTAAAAATACTCGAGCAGCTGTGATTCCAAGCTGCACAGGACAATGGCAGGTAAGAGGTAAGGAAATTGTACCAGCTGCCACTGTGGGCAGCGTAGCTCTGGGGTTCAGAATACTAGCTCTGGTAACACACTGGCCTGGGTTTCAGTCCTGCTCTACCACTGCTTGTGAGATCATGCGGGAAGTTCTTTTTTAACCTCTCTGAACCTTATTTTCTCATCTGTAAAATGGGAAGACAATAGCAAGTACCCCATAGTGTTGTTATGAGGACGACTCAGGTCAAGAAGGGCCTAACTCAGGCCCTTCCCAAATGAGAAATGCTACTAGGCAAACACTGTTTTCCTAACTACTAGAAAAGCAGAAAGACTGTAAAGACCATGGATAAAAACACCATGTTATGAGAAAAAACTCAAATTACTAGACATTTACTTAATGACTGGTCATCTCCCATGCGATGGGGCAAGTGACAGGTCAATTGAGGTCTTAGGGACGCCGGCAGTGGGGGCTGATGGTTGTGGCAATATCCTGTTGTCCCCTTCTTTTCCTTTAGCCTTCAGGTGCCCTGAGCTGGTCAAAGCCTGGGAACTGGGTAGACGTTGCCACCACTGCTATGCCATTTGAGTCCCTTTTCCTTGGAATGGAGTAGGGCCCCATAATGACCAGGCTTGAGAAAACGTGAGTAAAGAGCTTCACACAGTGCCTGGCTCATGGCTTATATTCAGTGAGTGTTAGTTATTATTAATAGTGGAGTCTCTGGGTGGTACGAATGGATAGCATGCTTGGCTGCTAACCAAAAGGTTGGCAGTTTAAGTCCATCCAGAGATGCCTGGGAAAAAGGCCTGGCAATCAGCTTCCAAAAAATCAGCCACTGAAAACTCAGTGGAGTGCAGTTCTACTCTGACACACGTGGGGTCACCATGAGTTGGGGTCAACTAATTTGGTTATTATTAATAGTAGTAATAGTACTACTATATTTCTATTAGTCTTTTCTGATTATTGAAAAAGCAGCATGTGAAGACCCATGGGGGATTGCTTGCTGTAGCCGGTGCAGGCTCAAAGAGAATGGCAGGGGAAAAGCAAATTCTTTTCTTTCACAATTATGATATTGGTATTTTATTGGCCGGGTTAAATGTTTTCGTGTATTATCATGAAACACACTTGAAGGATGCAAACTGTAAAAAAAAAAAAAAAGTGACCTCTCAATCATCACATTTTACCTTTATGGAAAGCCACACCTTTTAGGCCTTAAGTGTCAAGTGGCAATTCAGTGCTTCAACTTAGACTAATGAGTAGTGGCTCCAGGGCCAGAAGTGGGTTTGGGCTGGCTCCACTGGTTCTTTCAAAAGAGATGTTACTAGCAGAGTTATGATTATTCTAGTTTTACACGTGAGGAAGCTTGAGGTTCAGAGTAGCTAAGCAAATTGGCCGAACTCAAACAGCAAGAAACGTATGTATGTGAGAAAAAAAAAATGCTATCAAATACCTGAAGACTTTTCTGACTCTAAAGAAGTAAATATTCTGCTGAAAGTGTGCTTGTGTGCGTGTGTGTATTGGGGGTTGTTATGGGTTGAATTGTGTCCCCCAGAATATGTGCGAGAATCCTAACCCTTATACCTGTGGAAGTAGTGTAATGTAATATAATGTAATGACTTTCCATAATGCAATTTAATGTTATGTTAATGAGGCCGTACCAGTGTAGGGTGTGTCCTAAACCTACTCACTTCTGAGTTATAAAAAGAGCAGATAGACACAGAGACAAGCAAGCACAAACGAAGGCAGACAGATGCCATGTGAAGATTGCCAAGGAACCAAGGAATGCCAGAGCTACAGAATCTGAAGGAGACGAGGACCTTTCCCCAGAGCCGACTGAGAGAGAGAGAGGCTTCCCCTAGAGCCAGCACCGTGAATTCGGACTTCTAGCCTCCTGAGTTGTGAGAAAATAAATGTCTGTTTTTAAAGCCACCCACTTGTGGTATTTCTGTTACACAAGCACTAGATAACTGAGACGGGGGTGCTTACTCAGGGACAGGCAGATCATGGCTGGGGCCCCACCCACCTCTGGAGTGGCCACGCGAGGGGCCTCATTGGATTCGCTGTCAGTGGTGCTGCTTTCAGTGTCTGAGTCCGACTCGGAGCTGCTCTCTGAGTCACTGGAACTTCCAGATCCTCCATTGGCTTGCACTGTGGGTGGGGGCTGGGGTGTGGCCACCAGTAGGCTGAAAGAAAAATCACATCATTCATCGCTTCATTCAGTCTCAAACCAGATGGAGAACAGCCCAGTCAGCACATGCTCACTAAGGACATGTGAATCTGCGAGCTAGGCAGGTGGGCAGCACTGTGGCCACAGAACAAATGGGGAACATGAGGCTCAGGAGCCCCAGTGACCTGCCCAATATCAATGGTTAGATCAGAACCAGGTCTGGGTGTGGCCGAGTCAGTGTTCCCTGGGTTCCATCACACTGCCTGCCTTCCCAGGAAAGCCTGGCCTCCTTCACTCCATGCAGAAGCCTCCAGCCAAGGTTGCCCATCTTCCGGATGCAGACACAGAGTAGAGCCTGTGATTCTCAACACTCTCATTTTGTTTTACCAGTTTTATTAAGATGAACTTTTGTTTTCTGTTGCCATCTTACAGAACAGTTCTATCACCAAGAAAGGGTGAGGTCAACCCCTCATTTGATCAGAGGAAACTGAGGACCAGCAAGGGGGAGGGGCTCGCCTCTGTCTCCCAGCTAGTCAGAGAGCCAACTAGAAGGGTGGCCACCCAGCTCCCCAAAAGGGCAGTGGCTTTGCTGAGCAGGGCCAGGGCCAGCCCCGACATGACTAAAGTCGGGTCTTGCTTGCTGTTTGTTGGGTGTATGAATAAGGGAATGAGAAGATGCCTCGCTCTTCATAATTTTTGTAAGCTCTTTTAAAAACTCTTCTCAGGAGGTATGATCGTATGGGACTAGCCTTTTGTAATATTTGATTTTAAATTTGTAGAGCTGACCAGGCAAAGCGTTTGAAAGTGGACACCATTTGCTACTCTGCCATCATTGATAATCAACACGCCTCCTTACCAAGTTGTTTGCTCCATGTACCCCATAAAAATCACCCTCAGACACCTCTTGGCATGCTGGGGTATGGCGTCTCCTGTCTGTCCTTTGGACTGTTTGCATTCTCAGAAATGGGGCTCTAACATTTTGGGGGGTTCTCTTCAGTCCATTTCCTATTTAGGAAACAAACTTGGCTTGGAGTAAAGGGTGGGCTAGGGGCCCACCTCACAGCCTGACTGCACTGAGCCTTCCTGCCTCGCAGACCCCCAGCTCCATGCCTTGCTCTCCCCCTCACATTCCCCATGCCTGACCCTCTAGGCCACCTAGTTCTACATGCCCACCTCTAAACCTGAGAAAGAAGGACTCCAAGTAATCCCCACTCCAAAGGCTCTGGAAGCACAGACTTTTGTTCCTTGCCTGAACCCCAAAGAGTTTGTGTCTCCACCCCATGCCCTCACTCGAGCCTCTTCTCAAACACTACAGTTCTTGGCCGCTGAGATGGGGCCATGCTCAGGAACAGGACTGCTTTACAGCCAGCCTGGGCTCCGTGTCAGCCACTACCCGGTGCAGAGGGTCTTTCTATTCCTCGGGGCTGCCATTCCTAAGACTTCCCCTTTAACCTTCCATGTAGACATTTTCTTTAATATAGTGGAAGCACATTTTAAAATGCTATCTGCTAAGTAAATGCCCGCTGCAAGTATGCCCCTCTGCCAAATACACCAAGGAATTAGGGGAAACACAGGGGAAGGAATAGGGGACAGTATCCCTTGGGAACATGTTTGTGTGTGGATGTGTGTGTGAGAGAGAGAGAGACAGAGACAGAGAGAGAGACAGAGACAGAGAGATGGTAGTGGGGAGGGGTTCTGCAACTCGGTGTTCTTATTTCCCTGCATTCTTTTGCAAATCTCTTTTTAACATCAGTAATGACTCCGTATTTATGCAAAGCATCATCTAAATCTAAACAATTTTTTTTGAAGTTAGTTATTAGGTAAAGATTGAGGTAACATATCAAAGTGGGCTAATCCAGAGCCTATGCTAATTTGGCTTCAATTACCCCCGGTAAAGTTTCAAATACAAAACAGAGCATGTGCGATACTGAGAAGAAGGTGTTGGATTGAGGGGTAAGATTGATTTTTGTACCCATGTTCATGATTTTCAAGTAAAAAGGCCATGTCCTAGTTTTCCTTCACATCTATGCATTAATTACTGGCTCATAATGCCATCCTAACAATTATCTTAACATCATAACGAATTATGGAAGACATTGTGAAGAATGGGAATTCAAGAACAATTCATTGTGCTCATGAGGAACCTGTACATAGACCAAAAGGCATTGTTTGAATAGAACAAGGGATACTTCGTGGTTTGAAATCAGGAAAGGCATGCATCAGGGTTGTATCCTTTCACCATACTTATTCAATCTGTATGCTGAGCAAATAATCTGAGAAGCTGGACTATATGAAAAAGAACAGGGCATCAGGATTGGAGGAAGACTCATTAACAACCTGTATTATGCAGATGACACAACCTTGCTTGCTGAAAGTGAAGAGGACTTGAAGCACTTATTGAAGAAGATCAAAGACTACAGCCT